TTGGCAGTTGTTGTCTTTTGTTTGTTCTGGTCAAATAATTGTTGACAATGAGAATAAAAATGATAAGAAAAATTACACAAAAACAGTAGGGTTATAACATTCTGCCTGGGCTGCTGTGATATAGAGATGATACATATTTAATGTGGATGCACCACGAGAAAGTAAGGGAATGTGGGAAGGTACAACATGCCAAGCATTTTGGAGGCTGATGAAGTTGTTGGAAGAGTAGTGAGTGAGAAGAGGATGAGGAGGAGGAGGAGTGGTGGTTCTGACAAATGATGTTTTCTTCTTCTGCAAAGGAATGCAGAGCAGCAGAGAATCTTGTGGAAGATTCCAGATATCTCTCAGAAGTCTGAGAATGGAGGTGAAATGTTCTTTTTATTTACTTTCATTTTCTTTTTTAATTGTCCCTTATAAAAAATGTAGCCAACATGCCTTCCTCATCTTTTCCACTGTCCTGCTTTCTGCTCTGCTCCCTCTGGCTCCAGGTGTGGGCTCTCTGCTGGCACGGTTTCAGCTGACAGACGGCCCCAGTAAGCCGGCCCCACTGGCAGTGCAGTTCACCAGTGAAGGCAGCACCTTGTCTGGCTGTGACATTGAGCTGGTCGGCCCCGGATACAGATTCTCCCTCATCAAGAAGAGATTTGCTGCAGGTGAGGATGAAAAATGCCTCAGTTTCACACACCAACATTATGCGAGTTTGTTCATCACTCTGCGACAACAGTCATATTCTGTCTGGGGAGTTGTTGCCATGGTAGCATTATGTCAGTTCTCAAATCTTCCTCAAAGAAGTTGGGCATGAATCTTCAAACCAATCAGTCTGTTATTAGGATTGCTGTTCGGAAACGCTAAGTTAACCGTATAACAGAATGATTTTATCATATTGTTGCTGTCTATACAAAACCTTGTATCTCAAATTGTAAGTGTACAGGGAAAGGAAAACATTCAGAACTTTCAATGGAACTTAATGGAAATTATTTAGGAGCATTTGTGTTGGTACATTAATCATGAAATTTGAACACAATGCAAAGGCCAACTGGCATTTTCAAATTCCTTAAAAACAAAAGAAGATTTTGTTCTGACAGAGACCATATTGTTGTTTACAGTGTTAACCTATTAAATCTTTTTCTCCTTTTTACTTTTAGGAAAATACATGGCAGACAACTAATCAGCACCACAGCCCTGCGCAAGAAAGTGTGTCTTTATGGACTAAGAGAAAATTACTCCAAAACACTCTGGCCCCTGCCTGACCCCTCGGAGAATCCCTTTATAGATGTCTGACACAGGCGGAGCCCACACTCCAGCAGTATTGTATAAGTTGCATATAGGAATCGTGGACCGTTTTAGGGTGTACTACTTGTATTTGTAAACTGTAAACATTTCAAAACTGTATTGCTGCTGTTAGACAGCACAGGTTTTCCCTTAAGGTTAGCCTCTCGTCTGTCTAACGTCTTGTTGTTCTACCCACAGGCTGTGGCTGCCTGAATGCTCTATCTGTCTAGGCCTGGTACAGACAAATCAGTGTTGAGTCTAGTCAGCAAGGCAGTGCATTTTGACAAAGGTAAGAAGCTCAGGGACTTGAGTGAAACCTGAGTGAAATGAAGTCCACTAGTGTCCGTAAGTCCATGACCAGTCAAACTCTTTCTGTTAACAAAGGAATATTTCATCCAAGACTTTTTACCTGTTGCCAAATTTTGACCTGTTACTATGGGTCTGTATAGGGTTGTTCAGGAGTCAGTCTGCTGTTGGGGTATGTATCTTTACCACAAGGGGGCGATGTTTTGCAAGACGGAACACTTCGGTCATAGTTCATGATTCAGGTTATTTACTGTAGTTTTTGGAATGTACGGTCATATGCAGAAGTTTGGGTGCTCCTTTTCAAATTACATGTTAACTCCTCTACAGAGAACACACCTCTGCACTTTTTAATGCACATTTTCTGTTTATTTGCTGAATTTAACATATTGGGAAAAACATAAAATATGACCTGTGCGAAAGCAATGGCACATTTTTTATTTTAGGTTTTATTTGTTTTCCTATATGTTTAGTTCAATACATAAAATTGTGCAGTAAAATTTGCAGATAAAATTTCTGTATGTTCTCTGTAAAGTATGTGTTAGCTTATTTTCACTTAAAAAAATCAACAAAGTATATAATTTGACCAGGGGTGTTTAAACTTTGCATACCACTGTAGTTAAATCAGGTATAGAAAGTGGCAGGTAACTGGTAACAGCTTTGAGTCGTATGTAAATGTGAAAATCAGGTTTTTTCGTTTCTGCTCCACATCTGCACTGGCACTGTGTTTTAGGTGACTTTTATGTTCAGTTTTTTTGGGCAGCCACAGCTTAAAATACGTCTTGCTTGCAATTGTATCAAAAAAAAGGTTTTTCCCTTGAGAAAAAAAAGAGCTGTTTAAAATGTAATTTTAAATGGATAATATATATCTTGAAGGGCGTTTGGTGTTTTCCTTGTATTGTTGAATAGCCTTTCTGTTGTTCCCAAGACAGCAGTGTTAGACTTCTGAGTACATCATTCTATTTTTATTTATTCATGATAATTTGTTGTACAAAAAAAGAAACAAAAAACTCTGTGACTGTATATGAATAGACTTTGAATGGTATCACAGTTTAGGATCCTTAAAGTTATTATTTTTTTTGTTATCTGTGTAGTTGGGTAAGCTGTGTACAGTACAATGCTGAGGTATAATTTTTAAATTTATTTCAGATATAATTTTTTAAACTGAAGTGCAACAGAGGATTTGAGCTGTATATGGGTGGGTTGGGGTGGGGGGGCGGGGGGTTAAAGGATGAATATTGTATCTACCTGGGTGCATCATGCTTTCTGAAAGCAGTGTTGTGTATATCTGCACTATTAGTTGAAACATGGATTGTCATCTTTTCGGACTTTACGTTTTCCATTCACGCCAACGTGTTGTATCTGACCTCTCTCGCTCTCCTCCAGTGCAATTTATTCGACGTCTTGAGCATGAACCCCTATCCAAACCGCCCTGGCGCTTGAGTTCATGGATTTTATTATTTTTGCAAATGGTAAATGTCTCTGTGAGATGACAAGATCGAGGTTTGGGGAGTGGTTAGGATGACCAAAATGCTTTTTTTCTTCTCTTCTCTTTTCTTTTTTTTTTTTATTTGTATTTGTGTGTGTATCTCCAGAACTGTCCTCTAAGAGAGAATAAGCTGCATATTTTTTAAATGTTATAAACTATTAATAAAGTGAAAAAATATTGTTTCTTGTGGAAAAAAAAAAATACCACTGTGCTACTGTTCAACTTCCCAGATGCTCTGATATTCCATGTTGACAACAGAAACGAGTGTGTGCCAGTTTAACGAGAACACTGGCGTTTGATTCCCATTCCTATCTACTGTACGTTGGGGAAGAGCAGTGCACTGGACATTAACATTACATCGCACAACATCCTGCATTGATTTCTGAATTGCACTGAATTTAATAGATTACAGAATTGAAACAGAATCCATTCGCTAACAGAAAACCACATGAATGCAGTTGTGTGTAGCAGCTGATGAGTTTGTCTGCTTAGTCCAAAGTGAAGTATTAGTCGAGATATCATCGCTGTCCAAAAAGAGGTATCTCCAATATAGTAACTTTATAGGAGCTGTCAGAAACATTCTAAACTTTGTCAATTTTACCCCAAGAAATTGCATTCTATTGGTCGGTTTTATCATGAAATTTTAACACACTGTTAAGAACACCTGCTGTGTTCAAATGTTGAAGAAAAAGAAATATCTGGAAAAAAAAATGTTTTAGTTTTTTCCTTTTTTTGGGCAGTGATGATATTCTGGAGGTGAGATGCTGTGTTGTATGTCAGTCAGTCAGTCAGGTTCTGTAAGTGCAGTAGCGTGTGTGTGTGTGTGTGTGTGTGTGTGTGTGAGTGTATGAGAGAGTGTGTCTGAGACTGCCTGTTTGTGTGACTGTATGTTAGATCATTCTTAACTCCTCAACATTTCTGCCCAGCAACATGTGCAAGCTGTGTTTGTACAGATGATGTTAACAGTGAACTGAGATACTTTGCTCTTTCCAAACCAATAAAAGATGTAAGCGGAACGTATGAATTTGTTTTTCTGAATGATCTAATAACCACATGTGCTTAACAAATCTATAATTAGCTACTGTGTGTGTCTATTGGAGCTAGCGAAAAAAATTATGTATCACATTCTAAGACCTAATTGGTGGGAATTCCACAGATATTTTTTCTCTTTTTATCGCATAGTTAAATCAAAATGTAAGCAAAGGTAAACAGTCCTTTAGCATGGTTTCAAGGGAAATGCGCCGTTCAACAGAAACTTAGCGAGTCAGAATTGTTCACAGTGGAGGTGATAAGAACCAGACATCTGAAGCCTTCAATAGCACCCTCATAGAAAGGTTGCATGAAATGGTTACGAATATGCTGCCTGATGCCTGAGACATTGTTTTGCCATTATCATTACATGTACAAACTCAGATGTGTAGGTGCATTGTTCATTTTGGATAGTAAATAAAATGGCTATATTTGTGTTGTAGACATTGTTACCCCTGTTCCTGTCATCACCACTGTAAAGAAATCTGAGGCAGTACGTTTCCTACAGTGCTACAGTGCAACATTTTACATCAAACCACTCTGAATGACTTTGTTCACATCTCAACCATTGAACTATCAAGCAATTTTGAAAAATCAGTGTAATTCCCCTTTTGATGGACTTAGCAACAGGAATTAAGACGTTTAGGCCTGTGATGGTAACAGAATCCTCTTTTACAGGTCACTGTTTGGTAAATAAAGGCGGTAGTAATAGACATAGTATGACTGGGTGACCAGCTAAACCAGAATTAGACCAGCATAAACCAGCTTATTATGTATGCCATGCTGGTTTGTGCTGCTTTCTTTCAGCAGTGATAACAGCCTGAAAAGTTATAAACAAATATTTTGAGACTTGCTTTAGTATATAAACTACCATTTAGGATTAATTACATTGAAGACACCATATAAGTCCATGATTATGCAGCAAAATTTATTAGACAAAACTTGCAAAATATACAATTCAAGACTGAAATTATTTGAAAACATAAAATAGTTGGCATGAAATCTCTTTTTCTCCACAAACCTTTTGTATAATATTGAACACATATTTAAACAACATGGTTTGGCTACTAAATGTTTGTTTATATGCCCTTAACACTTATTTTACAGGCACTCACTGATTTGCCAATTATCTTTCATGCCATGAGCCGTAGAGCGAGCTGATCTTTAGTAATGGCCTTAGGATCCCTTACACACCACTGAGCGTGTGAGAGTGTGTGTCCGCTCCTCAGCACAGGTAGGTGAGGTCTCTCTTTTGGCAGCCCACCTGACAGCACATGTTGGTCATCAGGTGGTTTATATCTCGTGTCGACAGGTCTAATCCTTCGCTCTCACTCAGGTCCTCAGCGCTGTTCTGCTCTCCATTCAAAATCCCTGTAAAGCACAGTTCATACTTGGTTCAGTATGGGGTGTATCTGCTTTTTCAGTCACAGACTAGGCTGACGATGCACACTTTAAACTACTGAGGCAGGAAACAAACCAACAACAGAAGAAGGAAGGGGAATTCCACCAAAAATTTCTAAAATTTCTGCATGTTTCAGTCGCTGAGATGTAAACACAGTCATTCAGAGAATTCTGATGTGAAATGGTGCACTGTAGAGAAACTACATTTTAAATTTCTTACTAATGGCGTCAAGGGCACCGCCAGGGATTTTGGGCCCCATGAAAAGTTATCACATCGGGCCCCACCACCCCAGGCCGCGCAAAGCCTGAAAATATAACACTACAGACATGCATGCAACTTTCTGCATACAGTAGAATTTATACACTCCATAACACTGATACCATCTATAAGAAATGTAATTTTAATAATAAAATTCTTGAATAGAAAATCCTCTTAACACTAATGAATAACATAAATATAAATTAACCTTTAGGGATGGGGAGACAGGGTTGCTAAGCCTGAAGCTGCATCTGTTGGGTCTCATACCAGGCAACAAACTGGAACAACTGATTTAGTAAGAACATCTTGCTACAAGTTTGCCTGCATTGATTAAATGTTGGCTAAAAGAGGAGCGAAATGTAAACAAGTAAACAAGTAACTATGTTAGGGGAGCAGAAGTAGCCTATTTCACTATTGGCTAAGCTAACAGGTTTATCTCCACCACTCATGGACTACATCTGCCTAAATCTACAAATTTACTTAATGCTCTAACAACTTTTTAGGGCTCCTGTTAGTCACAGGTCCTTATAATTGCCCCCCACTGAAAAACGACAAAAATGGAGATATGAGGGTTTCTTCTGACAGCAGCAATATACATCAATTCTATTACTACCTAAAAACAGGACCAGTAGACCTACATATATGTTCTGAGTTCTTATATGTAATGTTGATAATGGTAGAAAAAAAGATTTTTTGGGTAATGTTTTGCCTTACAACACCCTGCATGTACCCCAACATGAATGTATTTTAAAAATATGTTTTAGGTGAAAAGCTCATCTCAAAATTATCATAAAACAATGTATCAGGTCTCAGATAATGTATTCATAAACGATATCTTGTAATAACTTTCTGTTTTGGGAGCTTTTATAGGCATTAAACTCTTCTGATGTCAGGTTCCTATCACCACCACTGAACAATTCTGACTCTGTAAGTTTCTCTAGAATGGAGCATTTCACATCAAACAACTCTGAATGACTTTGAATAAAGTGTAATTACGCAGACATTTAAAGAAAGAAAAAATAACTAATTGTGCAAATTATAATTAGCCATGCAGGTTCTGGTAAATTATAAGCTTTGCTAGTAGAGGGCAGTTTGAATACATGCAGTACATAGTAACAGCAGACATGTTTCATACTAAGTCTGTAACTGCTGATTATATTAATAATGGACAACAGCAAACTATGTATAACTTTTTGAAGATTGCAAAATACTTGACTCACAGAATATTTAAAAAAGATAAATATAAAATATGTACAAAAATACCCTGTGGCGAAAAAAAAAAATTACATAAATGAGTCTACCGGACTGTTTCTTACTGTAAGTGAGTCCAGTATGAGAATTTAAAATATGCATTATCATCATGCAATGTATATATCCAATATATAACCTGCAAATGGAAATTACACCGCTCAGAGTCAAATTAGGTGTACAATCATTTTTTCCAGGGTCCAGACTCCAGAGCTGTCCTGAAAGATTATGTAATTACAGTACAGAGAAAATCCAGTAACACAACGTGATGTGTGCATTAGTAATGCACATTAGCACAGCGTGTGGCTCTCCTAGATCAAGCAGGTCTGCCTTGAGCCATAACTACCTAATTGATCAGGTCTGGGTCCTGTTGCTATCATCAGGTTTATCTAGAGCAGATGCTTGAAGATCAAATGAATCACAGGTCACTGGAGGATTTGGCCAGAGCTATGACTGTGGCATTTATCTCATTTACCGAATGAGATTAAATCTGCGCATCAGAGGAACTTTCAATGATGCTTTAAGAAACAACTGAAGGAGTATTCAATGTTTTGTTTTTCCAACAGAGATGACATGTTGTGTCTGCAGGACTCACCAACAGAAGAAAAAAGTTGGCTTCTTTAGCTTTGGACTGGAGCTATGAGGCTAACAACTAGCACCATGCAAAATACAGGCCTGAATCAACACATATTTGCCTCAAACCATGTTCAGTTAGTCTCAAATAGTTTGCTTATGTGGTTACTGGACCTATATGACTGTTATAAATCTGTAAAACTCTGTACTACTCAGTTTCTCCCCCAGTTTAGTCATTGCTAATCCCCACCCACAGGCTAAAACTCCCCCATCACACAAAGCATTTAAGCAACAAAAAAGCAATTTTAGCTTTTAAGGCAACCACATTCACGGTTTATTCTGAGTAAGCTCAAATTAAACTGTATATTGTAGACATGCCTTGAATGCTACACTAAAAATATTAGTACAAAATGTAGGTTACAAGACACCTGCTTCTGTTTCTGTTCAGCACAGGCCAGCATGGTGGTCTAAACTGGTTTATGCTGGTCTATTTGTGCACTTGTCATTACTCTACTTGTGCATGGTCATTCTGGTTGACCAGCATACCCACATCCAAAGCACAACAAATACTGATTTTGCTGCTGATCAGCATATTAACTTCAGTTGCTGCTGACCAGCGTATCTATGTCCAAAACACAACATATGTTGGTTTTACTGGTGACCAGCCCTGCTGGTCTATGCTGGTGTTTCTCGCAGAGATGCATTTGGGTTAAGGGGACAAAATTTGATCATCATCATTGAGCTGGATAAAGTCAATTCACAGAGGGTCAACTCATATTCCAAAAAAGCCCAGAACTGACAGGCCATTACTTAGATTACTACTTCTAGAAATAACAGCATCTAAATGCATTACTTGCTCAGCCTCTGTAGCAAATAAAAGAAAAACATGTTACCTCTTTATAGTCTAATAATATTTTCTTAGTAGTGGTATGAATCACCTTCCATGTTCTGTGGAGTGAGCAGCCTCCTCCACCTGGACCCTCCGCAGGTGTAGACCACGGCCCGGATGAACTCACGGCCACACAGCTTGACCGTTTTGACCTCCGCCTGCACCTGCGACACACTACAAACAGCCCACAGCAGCATCAAGGGCAACAGAGGCAGCGTAGAACGCAGTGCTTTCATAGTTGCTCCCACACTTCCCTCCCTTTTCCCTTGTTGCTCTCTGTCTTGTTCTTGTGTCTCTCCCTGTAGTGCTGTCTTCAAGGCTGGAGGTTGGTGTCTGAAAGATGCTCTAAGGTGTGCTTCTTATATCTCTTCTTCAAACTCCACCCTGAAGTGGAGTCCCTTTTTATTGCCAGTTATCTCTAATGACAGGATGTGTATCTCGAAAAAAGGCATTCTCGACAGGTAGTAAAGTGCTTTACTGCCCCAATCTGGAATCAAATTACATCCTTTTGGGACAAGGCCTTGTCTCCTGACCGCTCCAGCATAATGGTTTGATTGCAGTGATCTTCTCTATAATGCAAAGCTAATCAAGTCATACATGGAGTAGCGCAGCTCCCCCTGCAAAACAGATGTCCAATATCTGCTGATCTGACTGACAAATTATGTCCTCAAAAACCAGTTGACCTACAAATAAAGAGTGCAAATGATCATGATCACAATCATATGACCCATTATGGCTTTACCGTCAGAGCACTGCCTCCCTCGGGATGGTTAAAACGTCCCCAAATGATATAAATATGTATCAGATATCATAGAGTGATGTTAGACTTTGACTAATGACAAGGGCAGCTAAGGCACCATTGTGAAAGCACATTGTTTAAACCCGTAAACTAACAGGCTATTTGGTAACTAATATGAAACTAATATGCAAATTACTGTATGTAGTAATAAGAATGAGGAATAAAAGTGTAAACCCACATAAGAACTCAATGTAAGAGGTGAAGAGATATATATATATATATATAATATACAGTGCAAAAGTCAAAAACCACCCTTCACTTATTTCATATCAAGTCAAAATGGCTCTTATATAGAAGTTATTAATTTTCCAGCATCAGAAAAAAGCAGAAAACATGTATTTAACAGAAAATTACACAGAAGCCTCAACAACTAAATATATATTTTTTCAGTATTTACTGAATCCACTCTTTGCCTTTATTTCATCTTCCATTCTTTTCAATTGTTTCTATTTTTCAAATAAAGCTGCAGGGATATTTTCACACCCCCAAAGTTCAGTCTTAAAAGTTGGTTGTATTTCCTGCTTCTCACAATCTAGTTAATCCCACACACATTCAGTGATGCTAAGGTCTGAGATCATTTCCTTTTCTCAGCTTTTGTATAGCTGCACATCCTTTCACACCAGTACTGTCGAGTTGTCCTCTCACAGTGGAAGGATGGACAGAAACACCTGTGGATTTTTTTCCAGATCTGAAGTAAGAGTGGAGCTTGATTTTCTCCTCGCTCTCAAAGATGAAAGCTGTAAGTACTGTTTATCTGATTGTGAGAGTTTTAGTGGTCTACCAGGGCTTGTATGGTTGTTAGGAGTCCCATTCTTTTCCGTATATTTTAATCATTTTCTGAGCTGCAGAAACTGTTTTTTTTTTGTTTTGTTTTGTTTTTGTTGTTTTACTTATTTTTCTTTGACCTTCCCCTTATGCAATGTATTATCTTACATCTAAGCTCCTCAAAAATTATCTCCTGAAAAATGAATAACTTGTACTTAATGACTGGAAATTAAATTTGATAATATTATTTTAAACATGTAAAAAAAGGGCTGCTTGTGCATGTAGACCATTCAGGAAAAGTCACAGACTTTCATTTTCAAGCACAATTAGTTGTTCATCACAAATAAAATAAAAGCCAGTCTACAGGCTGTGGTGCAGGCTAAACCCAATGAGATGAAAGATGGGTGAGCACTTAGGAAAGGTCTGTGACACACAGAAAAGCGACACACTGAATAAACCATATGCTAAACATAGGCAAAAGCACATCTAGAATCCATTTACTCCCATAACTGCTGTTCTTGTAAAGCTACAGACAGTATTTGCTCAGAGCCTCTGACTGAGCTTCAGCATTAAACTGTTTGATTTGCACTAAAGGACTCAGATTAGGGACCTCTCAGACAGGTCATGGATTACAGCAGTTCCCATAATGATAGCCATTTGCTGAGGTGTGATGGGGCTGTTGATGGCATGGATGGGTTGTAATCTGTCGAGAGGTTCTGGTAATCAGACCTCCATAGCCTCTCCATTAACTTTCAGTGTATCACTGTCATAAAGACCACATGCTCTGGGGATCTTTCAGTTCTGTGAACTAGTAGGTGTTTTGACAGTTATTTGTCAAAAAATACTAAGCTCAAATATCTTTTCAAATCATGATTTAGCTAGTTGGGAACTGGCAAAATATGCATAAATTCTTAGTGGACAAAGTTCTTCTTTTCCTGTCATGTTTGATTAAAGTGTAGTGGCTTTTGCCCACCTTAAAAAAGGCTTATTATTTCTGATTATGTGACTGTGTACCAGCAGGCGGTGAAAAACAATATTAACCAATAAAATCATGTTTAACCTCTATCACCCGCTATCCCCACCTACCATCCAGCAAAACGCTCAGCTGGCTCAGAGACCCTCCCTGATACTGTGTTTCACTCAGAAATATTTCACTCTGTATGGAACAAAAATGTGTTCACATTGACTTTAAAGAGTTAAGGGGGACTTCATCAGTTTTTTTTATTTAATTGTTAAGATGTAAACAAAGTCATTCAGAGTGGTTTGCTGCAAAATGCTCAGTTCTAGAGAAACTTACAAAGATAGAATTGCATCACAGAGGTGGTGAACCAGGCATCCAAAGCATTTAATGCCTCTAAAGGCAACCACACAGAAGGTCATGTCATGAAATAGTTATGAATATGCTGCCTTATAAGTTTTTTATACTTTTTAGATGAGGTTTTTGGCCAAAAACATCTTTTTTAAAAATACATTCATAGTGAAGAGGTACATGCAGTGCTTTCTAAGGCAAAATAATACCCAGAGAAAACAGAATTATTCAGATTTACCTCTATTTCACCATCATAAACATTACATATAAACACTCAGAAGACGTGTAAGTTCACTGGTCATTCTGGATAGTAAATTGTGACCCATGGTTCCCATCACTGCGACTGTAAAGAAATCATTGTCATTAAGTTTCTATACAATGCAGCATTAGACATCATAACACTCTGAATTGCATCTGTTTACATCTCAACAACTGTATTCTGGAAAACTTTGGAAAAATCAGTGGAATTCCCCTTTAAGTTGTAGGAATAATGGGACAAAACAACCTAAAGAGAGGGCAAGGAGCTGCTCTGAACCATTTTGAGACAAAATACAACTTTCTTGGAGATGTACTGGTTATCTTGGCTCAGACATACCAGTAACTCTGAGACTTGTTTTTGGTAGGTGGTCCTATTTTGGCAATATGTTTATTCTATTCATGCAAGACATGGCCAGCCTGTTGTAATCTCATTGTTATTCTGAAATGGAGTCTCTGAGTCTGATGGATAACAGACATTACTGTCAGACGGATGATGGAGTAGAGCAGGCAGCTCAACAGCCTGATCCTCAGCCAGCACCCCACCAGCAGACACTAAAGCCTCTCTCTTTCTCACAGCTGGCTGGCTAGCGTGGACCTGATGATGTCCTCAAGTGTGTCCACCTGCCAAGAAGGAGAGGACGCGTATCAGCACCAATGAATCGCATGAGGCTTCTTCAGATGTGTAAAATGATGCTTGTCAAAGCTCACCTGTGTGCCTGCTCCCACTCCGAGGTTCTCCAGTTTGTAGATGCTGACCTGGCCCTCACTGTCCCCAACCAAGATGCAGTCTGTCCCACTGGCAAACAGCAGAGACGTAAGCTTCACACCCGGACTAGCGACACTCACTATAGTTGGATCCAGACTGCAAGAGGAAAAGTGCAGGGAGTGATAAACAACACGGGAGCAGGAGCAGATTACCTATTTGCCCTGCTGAACATGAGCTCAGCCACTAGGGGGCTTTCATCCAGCACAGATTTACAACAGATTCTAGTAAAATCTAATACACTCGTATTTTTTAAGCAACACTCAATAGTTCAGGATGTTCACATGCTGCTCTTTTCAGAACAGGTTGACATTAATGACAGGTTTGAGTCACTTACTCACATGAATGTGAGCTATCAAGTTATAAAGATTGAATCTGAGCAAAAATTCGGAATTGAAAAATGGTGCTTGTAATTTGAACGTAGATCAATTTAATCTATGGTTAGTAAAAAATGTATACAAGAGAAAACACTGAACTTAATAATCGGCAGAATATCACAAACTAATTAACTACACATGAACCTTGAATGCTACATGGAAAAATTATAACTAGGGACACATCGTGACCACTTTTCCCTTCCAATATCGATTCCTTAAGTATCTGCCGATAGCAAGTACCAATACCGATACTAACTTCAACCTAATCACTCGACAGGTGCCAATAAATCCTAAAATTTATAAAATTCCACTTTTTAAATACTGTATTTTAGTAAAAGCAGTGTTTTGTGTCTCAAATAAAAAAATGCTGATCTTGAACAAATCGCATTCAGTAAAATAATTCTGGGGTACCTGCAAATGACAGAAAGAAACTCTGGGACATGAGATCAACTTTCCAATAGAGAGAAAAATGGATAAGCAACATTTCGGTTTCCACCCAAATGGAGATAATATTAACAGCGTTACATGCTGTGTAAAATATGGATATCATTATACATTATTAAGTAATATTAGATGCAGGCCCAGTTTGGTGCCAATATGGTAATTATATTACAGTCTGGGAAAATGCAAGCTACAGGGTAACGATCTGTAACACTCACACATGGAACCTCGTAAATTAATTTGGATCCCGATCATATAATTTATCGCAGCTCTGCAGACAATAATAGTTGAAATTTACATTAGTGTCCAAGCTTAGTGATCACCAAATGATATAACACTGATTTCCTTAAACACTCAGAATAGATGTGTAATATAAAGTTTGTGCCCAGTTGTTCAAGATTATTAATGGGGGACTAAACTAAAAACACAGAGAATGAGCAAGTTCTTACATGCTGGCTCCCAGGTCCCAGATCTCCACCCTGCCCTCGTTTACTGCCCCAAACACAGTGGCCCACCGCGGGGACCACATGACATCATGGACAGCTTTCTGTGTGGAGGTGAAGGCCAGAACAGGTGTGAGGAGATCTTGCCTCCAAAGTTGAATGGTCCAGTCTGCAGAACAGCTTAGGAAGACATCTGGACAGAAGGGTGACCAGGTGACCTTATAGATGGGACCCTAAATAAATGAAAAAAAAAACATATAAAAGGAGCTTCTCTAATAATGAAAAATAATCTTTTCAAATGTTTTCAGGAGCCCCAATAATAACTGCTGTGATTAGACCAATATTTGGTAGCCAACAAGACACCTCTGAACAAAAACAACACATCCACTACAATGTAAACTGTTCAAAATGGCCACTTTATTAGAAATCCCCATCTAGCAAGACTTTGCTGGTGTTCAGATAGAGACTGTTGCTGTAGAGTTTGTTAGCCATCATCATTAGTCTCTGTCTGATGACAAAACCTCTTTTCGCTGGGTATTTTTGGCTGATGGACCACTATAAACCTAGCAGTGACACTGATACGTGTAAAAGTGTATGCACTTTTGTTAAAATGTTAAAATGGATGGTGAATGTATTTATTAACATACTACATAAATATATACTTTATAATAGTATATACACTATATCATCTCACATTTGAAAACGAAGATAATTAGTTTATGAGTTCAAACAAAAAGTATAATACTCAGAGATTTGATTTGATAAACCCCACTGTGTTCATCTAACCAGGCTAGGAGGCTGTGCGCGTTATAGAAACCTACTCTGTGTGCTGTGTACGTCTCCAAGAATTGCTCATTGTATGAACAGGAGCACTTGTGAATATGTCCCTCTTCTGTTCCACTCAAATAGATATTTGAGTCCTGATAAATAGAAATATGCAAAACCAGTGAAAATATGTTCAAGTGCAGGCTGGTTTAAAGGGAAATTCCACCTATTTTTCAATATTTCGGATTAATGAAATTGTTAGTGTAATGTAAATACAATCATTCAGAGAGTTTTTACTGGATGTGAAATATCTGAAGGGTTTAAAGCCTCTAAAAGCGAGAACCACTATTTCACCATTATGAACATTACATATAAGAACTCAGAACACTCAGAAGAGTCACTGGTCACTTTGGATAGTAAGTAAAATGGCTATATCTGTGTTATAGATATTATGACCCCGGGTCACCCCCTTGACCATCATGGTGAAGAAATGTGTCAGTTAGCTTCTCTACAATGAACCATTTCTCATCAACCCACTCTGAATGACTTTGTTTACATCTCAACAATTGAATTACATGGAAATAAAAAAGCATGTGGAATTCCCCTTCAACAGCAAACTTGGTGAATGTGTGATCCAATGCAAAGCTCCTAACATTACGATGGAAAGCGAAACACAGTCCAGGCGCCTGGCGAGAAATCAGAGCCTCACTCTTCCTCTCTCTTTCTCCCAGCAGTTTCTTGTCATTTCTCATCCTCTTCAGCTTCATCAGATCTGATTCAAATAAAATCACATAAGAGATACACACAGCTGTATCTAGCATGCCATAAACTAATCATTATTTTTGACAGTATTTTTACATTTTAAAGTTCTTAACCTCTTAAAATCCCAGGCTTGTTGCAAACCAGGCTTATTATTCAGTAACTACTGGGACTTCACTTCCAAATGGCTGAGCTGTTCTTAGGTTATAGAAGGGTGTAATAAAACTCTGGGCCTGCCAGTGGGGCCTGGCCATTTAAGGGGCTTAAATTTTGATAAGTGAAGTTCTAAACAGATCTTTCACAGCACTGGCGAGAGTCTCATCAAGTAAAGCTGCTTTGTAACAATGTGCCTGTTCAAAATGCCCCATATAAATAAAACATTGCATGAATTAATCCTTGATATTAATAGGGAACAAACCGAATCCTGATCCAGAAATTTTTTTTATGTATCACTGATAAAACACATTCGGAATTCACCGATGCAGTCCAGGCCTTTGCGCAGGAACCATTTGCTGATCCTCCCATCAGCAGCGACAGAGATCAGTGTCTCTCCTTTATATTCTCCTGAAGGCCCCCGCTCGTGATCTATCCACTTCACCTGCCACACCGGACCCGTGTGTTTGTAGGCACAGTCACTGCAAAAGAGCATGAAACAAACAAGGCTATCTTCATTCATTCAGGTTATCTTCAGCCTAGGCTGTGTGCCGTCGCATGTGTAGAAGTGCTAAAAAGCCAACATGTACTGTTTGTGCAGAACCCTTTAATCAACACAGATATTTATAGTTACGTAATCTCTGCACGATTGATCTGTTTATTTTTCTAGAATAGCAAATAACATCCCAAAGCACAACATTAGTCAAGTGATCAGTGCTTTTTACCAGCTGTATGCCACAATATTGCACTGTGTTTACTATGCGCCACTGTGCACACTATAATTTATCCAGGGATGTATAAACACAGTGGAAACAGTAAACATTTGAGCTGCTGTAGCAAATGCCTCCAAACACATGGGAATGCATGGGAAACAGGAAACTATAATGTTTTTGGTTGGAAAGTTTCATGTGATTCAAATCATGAAAAACAGTTCAGTGACGTCTTTGTAAGTCTGATCAGATGTAGCCTTTGTGAATCTTTTTACCTCCAGTGTGTGGTTTTTCCCAGTTAAAAACATTTCTTGTTGTAGTGTTGATCTGCTTGAAAAAATAATCTTTCATTTTCATTTAATTTCATTAGATTTTTACAGTACTGTTCAACGTTTGGAGACCACCCTTCATTAAGTACAAGTTATACATTTTCCAAGAGATCCTTCAAAGAAATAAGATAAGCATAAGGAAAACTGGAGTTATTTTTTTTAAATATATAAAGAAAATGGGAAAATGGGATAGAACTTAAAGCCTTCAAGCTCCACTCCACTCCACAGGTGTTTCTGTCCATCCTTCAACTGTGAGAAGACAGCTTAACACTATAGGTCTGAAAGGATGTGTAGCTGGTGGCCACCTCAGAAACCAGACCTCAACATTGCAGAATGTGTTTGGGATTACCTGGACTATGAAAAACCAAGCAACTTCTAAGACTGAGCTTTGGAGGTGTGGAAAAGTAGCCCTGCAGATTTCTTTGAAAGCACTGAAACTCTCCTGAAAATAACATAAGCCGTATTAAAGGCAAAGAGTGGACAGACAAAATACTGAAAAAAGCTGATATTATATTTAGTTGTTCAGGCTTCGGTGTAATTTTCTGTTAAATATATGTTCTGTTTTTTTTTCCTCATGCTGTAAAATGAAAAGCCATTTTGACTGGAAATGAAATAAATCAAAGGTGATCTCCAACATTTGCAGAGTACTGTATGTCAATCTATAACATGCATATACTGACAAGTCCATTTAAGCAATCACAGTGACTTTTTCACTCCAGATGAAGAACGAGGCAAAAGTGCTTATAGTGCCACCTGCTGTCGATGACTGGTGTTTTCTCTCTGCTCTGTACATTGTAGATGGCGATGCTGCCATCATGCATGCCCACTGCCAACTGATTGGCATTCGAGGCTGAGAAGTCCAGGGACGTAACACCACTCTCGCAGAGAAAGATCCGCTCAGGCCACTAGAATACACACCAATACACACACACACACACACAAACACACACAAAGTGATATTCATTTATAGTAACATTTAGAGAGAGATAAACAAGCTGGTGAGAGCAGATTTTCTGCACTATTTGTGACTGATCAACTGGATGTGAACCGTACAGTAGGGTTCTTCAGAGACCAGCAGCAGACAAGTCCAGATTTCTGATCTTTGAAGTCAAACTGTCCGTATCCCACAGCTAGAAGGTCCTGCAGAAGAGCATCAGACAAAAGGCTGTTCATCATATAGTCTTGTACCATATGGCCCCACTGACTGTTCTCAGATAAACAGATTGTTCTGTTTTATGTTGTTCATAATAATATTGATTAGATTTTACAGGAAAAGACAGAGAACAGTGCAATCAGTGTGTGACGTGGTGAGCAGTTACTGGATTTTTCTTGTTCCAGGCCATGCTGCTGACGTTGCGACCCATAGTGAGCTCACAGCTGAAGGCCCATAGGCGCTCCAGGGCTGGGCTGAGAGAACTTTCCTCCTGGCCCTCTGTCTCAATCGCTGCACTGTCTGGATCTGCACATTCAGATTTACACCTTCGAAATTGTAATTAACAAATGTATCACACATCAAAACATTAAACACAATATCCAGAGTGGCAATAGAAGATAAAGCACAGTTTCCTCTCTAGCATCTGTAATAAGTAGTCTTGTTGACAAGCAGTCATGCTATTTGATGCAAGAACTGATTTGGGACACACCAAGCTTTTGGGAGGATTTTTATCGTTTTTATGAGATTTTGCTCACAAAAATTTCATTGTTCTAACTGATCATAACTGATTCTAACATTTTAAATTTGATGTAGTTGAATCCCCACCACCAGATTGATGCCTCATGATTAAAGGTTAACCGGTCATGATTATTTTGACCAATTCTGAGTCATTCTTCACAGCAATATGGGCAGATTTTTTTGCCTAATTTTTTTTAGCCTTTTTAACCTAAAGCTCACACTGTGTGGACTAAACACAAGACAAATAATCTTATTTGCTCTTTAATGTGCCAAGCTAGCATTTTAAATTATTAACATAAAATCAGTTGCTCATTCCAATAGTATGGAATCAAACCAAGTGCTACACTGAAATCATAAGGCAAGTGGCTATTTAGCACAATGAATTATACATAATGATGCTGATTACCTGTCAGTATTGGCAGCAGTCTGTAGGCAGCGAGCTTGGGCTGGTAGATGTTCTCCAGAATCGTCCGCTCCATAACCAGCAGATCCTGCAGGAACTTCTCAGACTGTAGGACCAGCTCGGGGTCAGGCTTGTCCTCCACTTCAACCACAAAGGCCTCCATCTCTATTCTGGAGCTGGTGGTACTGGCTAAATGCAGATGATGGAGTAAGATCAGTATCAATTTGTACCATCTTATCATAATTCAACTGTGACTCAGTGAACTAATCATTTTAAAAAACGTTTGTGTGAACTGTGGAAGTCTATAAGATCTGACTCTACTGCATTTCAGTGAGGTACAGTTGCCAAACTTACTTATGCTGTTGGCACTGACTCCAGACGTGGTTCTGTCTAGACGTCTGGTTGAATCTAGGCGATGAATTGAGGAGATCTGTGGGATGGTGGGCCTCTCTCCATCTGAAGAAATGGGCTCTCCTGCCTCGCTGCCACTCACACACGAGTCATACATGTCCCAAATGGTGGCTGTGGTAGCTGCAGACAATTTTTAAAGTAATCTCCCACAATAAATAGTGTTTTTTTAAGAATACATTATAAATGCATCCATACATAAAATCAGATGTAAAGTGATCAGGAAATGCAGCATGAAACAGTTTAGAAATTCAAATAGATCTTGATGACCATTAAAAAATGCGGGTACATGAGTTAACCTGCCTTTTTCCACCATGGTGATGCTGTCAGTCTGGATCTCTTTAGCTTTGGGTGCCCCGTTAAATGTCTGCATTGAGCGTTCCACGTATTTATCATTGCCCAGTCTGCTTTTGCAAAGTTCTGTATATGCATTGTTCCTCTCTCTTCCGGCACAAAGAAGGAACCAAATTAGACATGAAAATTATATTATATATGTAAAACAAGTTTTATAATAAATATAAAAATCCACAGAAAGACAGCTGAGTGCTTACAGCCAAACAATTTCTGTAATGTCAGCAAGGTTTATTGAAAAGCAAATACAGCAATAATAATAAGTAATACAAGTTCTGACAACATACCTTATCTTGTTTAATAATTTGTATGGTTATATATATAATCAAGGATGTTATGAGCTTTTACTTGACTATTTCAGCTTCATCTGAGTCTACAGACACAGACACTGCAGGCATGTCCAGCAGCCAGATGGTTTCTGTCTCAGTGAGGTAGCAATCCACCATACTGTCCAGCATGTGCTCTTTGATTTGCTCCTTCGTCTCCTCTCTCCAAACCTGGACATCTGTATTCAACAAGCATGAGTCAGTTTAACTGTTTCATATGAAGTGGGTGTGGATTAAAATGCATTAATAATGATTAGTGTGCTATTTTGCTGTGCTTTATAGGTTTCCCTGTGTTTTGTGAGTATTTCTTCAATATCAATAAGAAGTCACAGTTTGAGTTAAATATTTTAGGCTTCACTGAAGAGACATGAGCAAACCTGAGAGACCGACTGAGATATCTCTTTTCAAAGACGGATCCTCAATTTCATCACTGATTGATTCCATTGTAGACTGGCTCGATCTGGACACAGAGCTGCTGCCAAAAATGGACCTAAAATAGCAAATCATTCATGACTTTCATCCTCACCTAGTGCTCTTCTTCTTCCCGACATAATCAACACTGACATAAATAGAGTGAGCTTATTTGCAATAGGGAAAAGTAAACAATACCTATCAGGTTAATCTGTTTAACACTTATCATTTACCGTGTAAAGGGTGCTGCGAAGCTCGCGTTAGTGGTTTGGAAAGCTGTGGATAAGAAGTCAGAGATGGTCCCCCCTGATGTGTCATGAGGTGCGAAGATTTTGCTCTGTTTGGTTAGTACAGCTCCAGGTTCTGGCTGGTACAGAGGCTGAGGTGTGACATCCTTCCCTGCTTCATCCAAAACCTGAGTAGAAAGAACGGCATTATTAGACGCAATAGTGACTGAACAACTTGGGTCACAGTTTATGCTGTGAATGATCAGTGATGGCTGTTACCTGTACAATGTGTTTAGGAGTTTGAGCAGAGCTTTTATCCAAAACCTTACTATCCCCTGCTAAACTGAAGCTCTTTCGGCTTACAGAGGCGTTGACACTCCGTGTAGCACTTAAGTTTGGTTTTAGTATTCCTGAAGATGAGTGGTTCATCCTGCCTGATGACCTGGGGAGAGGGAACGATATTTGACCAGTACAGCAAAATTACTAAGCTATGTTATAAAGGAACTGCTGAAATTATAACATAAAGCAATAACACAATGTCATGTCAGTAATACAGTGAAATAAAACATTTCCTAAGAAAACTGTGAGATCTAGCTAGTCATAAACGATGGATGTTGGTGTTCGCTGACCTACAGCAAGTATGTCCGGTGTTCTAATAATTTGTCCTATTCGTTGAGCAGCCTTACCGATATCATTAGAATAGTGTCTTATTCTAACTCAATGTCTCAAATGTTTTATTGCGTTTTTAATATTTATTCAGTACAGCCTAAGCTTACTATTATTACTTAGCCCCTGATAAGATGATTTAGGCTATCAAAATATCCTAATTACTATTTTAGGTAGACAACATTTTCTGATTTATTTATGTTTGACAAATTTTCATATCATCCTGTAATATTCTGTACGCATATATAGTTATAATAAGTCTCCTCAGACCAGCATTTGTATAGACATTTACATGTGCATATGTACAAATATTCACACTGGCTCTGCAATGTTCTTTCTTATTCTCTATTTATTGTATTCTTATTTTATTTTTCCTTCAGTTAAATAGTTGCTAATAGTCTGTGTGCTTGTCTGCTCTGCTCAGTATGTTACATGTCATACACTAAGACTAATTCCTTGTAAGTGTAACATACTTGCCGAAATTAAGAGATTCTGAATTTTTTTTATTCTGAAAACATTTGATTTGATTTTATTCATGAAATACATTTCAATGCTGGTAGCACTTTCTGATAGTGATTTAGTCTGTGAAAATATCCTGTCTACAGTTTTATGTAAGGAGCTGTCTGTAAATATGTGTTACATTCTTTAAATAGATGGCTCTTCAAAGGTTCTTTAGTAAAGACAAAGGTTCTATAGAACCATGAACACTCAAAGAACCGTTTGCATGCCTAAATGGTACTTGAATGGTGAAATGGTCCTTCAGATTGTTGAAGAATGTGTTGTATGTGGTTCTATATAGAACCCAAAAAGGGTAATTCTATTGTTTACAATCTTGACAACGTAACGATAGCACAACCCTTTTTGGTGCTATAAAGAACCATGTGCAACCATGTAGAACCATAGGCAACACATACTTCATTCATCTGAACCATGTTATGCAAAGAACCATTTAAGCATGCTAATAGTTCTTCGAGTGTTTATGGTTCTATACAAAACTGCCTTTACTAAAGAACCCTTGAAGAACCATCGTTTTAGTGGCGTACGGTGGGTTTTTTCGACAAGGTGGCATAACTCGTCAGAACAGCGGGGAATTTGGTCAGTAATATAAAGTAACTCACGTGGTCACTTTCAGAGTAGGTCTGGTGTGCTTTGCCGTGGAGCTGGACATGTTTACTGAAGACAGAGCAGAACTACAGTTAATAAAACAGTAACGTTAAATCTACAGGCGGCTCCTCCAGCGCGTCCTCACGAATCAGGTCCTGAAGGAGCTTGTTTAATGTAACCATGGTAACAGATCCCGCCCACCAGTTAAAAGTCCAACGGTTTTCCTCAAAAACTATTTATTGATTTATAAAACGATTTTACCTTCCATAGACTTACAATGAGACAAAAAACTACTCCAAAAACAGAGACACTATATTATTCAATAACTGTTTCCAGTTTATTGGAATAATAAGAGGTTATTTCCATTCCTCATGGTAAGGACTGATATAGAGCAGAGCATCTGATCTTGTAGCCATGTTAGCTTGTTAGCTAGTAACTGACCTGGGACTGTTTTTACTAATGGCACGTTTAAATGTTGTGAGTGAGGTTAGTGAAGCGTTTGTATCACCCTCGTCGCTCTGCTCCCTCTCAGAGGAGCACGAGCAGCACAGACACTGTACAAGACATCAAGCTAACAGGAAAATAACCATTTCACACTAATCATTCTAAGCTCACTCAGTAATCTGAGGACATGATGCTGCTGAGCCCTTTTTACACATTTAAAACACATGCAGTACAGGGTTAAGGCAATAGAGTACAGGATCTGCCTAAACAAACAAACAAACAAATTAATTAATTAATTAATAAAATGACTTACCAAATAATTAGAAGCATAAAAATAACACACATCTTCAAAAAATATATGTATTTTTTTGTTTTATTTATATTCGAAACTACATATATTTGTATTGCTCACTTTATTTATTTCTTTATATCTTGTACTAATTTGTTTATGTATTTATAGCTTTCTGTGTGTATTCATTTAATTTTAGTAATTATTAAGTAATTCTATTTTAATTTAATTTTTCAGTCCTGATACTTAGATAGAAACGTACACAATACAGAAATAAGACATTATATGAGTGTAATACAAGACATTTTAGAAGTGCAATATTCATTTAAATAAGATTTTACATATTATAAGATAGCATACATCTGAAGTGAAGTCATAAAACGACAATCATCCAAAGGGCATTGCATGAAGGAGCGGTAGTTTTCCAAGGGGGTGATTTCTGTTGTTTTTGACACCACCTTGCATATGAGATCTCCCTTAAATCCTGCCTCTGTTCACTCATCTGTGCCTATCCTGGACTAAAAGTTCAGCACAGTGGGGTTATTTCTCTAAACAGACAGTTTATGTGTCAATCGATTTTATACTAATGCAAAAGCTTTCAAATATAGTTTTTAATGTACATTTTTACTGGTTTTCACTGTAGAAATCATAAAGACCCCCCCCCCTTTTTTTTTAAAGGATCGGTATCAGTGATGATATGTGGATATTAGATTTGCTATTTCTTGGTATCGGATTGAATATGTGAATATATCTTCAAACATTAAAAAATGTAATATATATATATGACCCTCAGCTATAAATGAATGGAAGAATGTGCTCAGGTTTACACTCCCGACCGCTAGGTGGCAGGATGAATCGTGGGAGCTAAATGTACTCCAGTGCGCAGTTCCCCTGAAGAAGACTGTCTTTAGCTGTCATGTGTGTTCATTTCAACCCGCTGTCTGTCTGTCTGCGTTATCCGTACACATTTAGGGCTTTGTGCCTGAGGAGTCCAGGTCTCTGCAGATAAATAAGAGCTACCAAATTGGTTTCTACACGGTAGGTTGTTGTTGTTGAAGCGTGTTTGAGCGTCCTGTGCTGGTGTTCACTTTCCTCTGAGCTAAACTACACGGAGAGCTCGGCGCTAAGTGTGACTGACAGACTGAATCAGCTCCACTACACAGAGTTATTCTTCTCTCTGTATGACTGACCTCCTTTTTGTAATACTGTCATTCACACAATGCTTATTACAGCTGTTGAAGCGCACTTATATCAGTCCACCCTCTTTTGCTGACCTTCAACAGTACTGTTAAAATAATCTCTCACAGAGACATGAATGTCAGATCAGTGTCGGTATCAGCTTTTACTGAAGGTTTCGATATCGGAGCTGGTATCGGGGAAAAAAGAAGTGGTATTGTGCCATCTCTAATTATTATTATTATTATTATTATTATTATTATTATTATTATTATCATTATCATTATCATTATTATTATTGCAGGGTTGTGGTGATTGTGGTAGGGCTACATTAGACCCAAGAGTGCTCAGAGAGTGATTGTAATGCCTCTGTATTTCTATATTACAATATTATTCATGTTTCTCCTTTAAGAGTTTTCCAGAACTGCAGAATCTACAATGGAGGTGCTGATGCATCTCTGTCACCACAAACTACACACCTTGCTGCCCAGAACCTTGAGCAGGGCATGTAGACGAAACCACCACTGCACACCACAGCCTTCTCACTCAGTCCATGTGCCCTCCAAGCCAGTCGCTCCGACACCATTGGTGTCCCGTCTCTTCCAGCCCTCAAACCTTCGCGAAGGCCAGGAAGGGGGGGACATGACATGCCGCAGCCAGAGACTGATGCTGCAGGCTGGCCTCATTCACCCTTCCAACCCAGGCTGCTTCTCCTATCTCCCTGCTGCCCTGCGTTCCATGGAGAAGCTGGTGAGGCTTATTGATGAGGAGATGCAGGCCATTGGAGGACAGAAGGTGGACATGCCAGCGCTGTGCGGAGCGGAGCTGTGGAAGCGTAGTGGACGCTGGGAGCTAATGGGAAAAGAGATGTTCAGGCTGCGAGATCGACACAATATTGACTACTGCCTCGGCCCAACGCATGAGGAGGCGGTCACAGAACTGTTGGCTTCACAGAGTACCCTGTCCTACAGACAGCTTCCACTGCTTCTTTACCAGGTATTTGAAATGGCTTGGCAGATTCTTGGTCTGCACGATTGCATGTTCTATAAACATTTCATATAAAGTAATTGGAAGAAAAGTTTAAGGCTACTTCATAAAATTGTATTTAAAGCAATTTATTTAACAAGAAAGCCATTATTTTCTCAGAAAAGCTCTTACATTATGTATAAAATGTTAATACATAAAATTGTGATTTTATGTCTGGTAGTATGTTAGCTCAACCATTTACAAACCTGGTTAATAAACTCAGTACTTCATTAGGTTCTAATTCTTTAAGTTAAATTAGGTGTGCAGGTGAAAAATTTAATAACTCTGTGCAATGACAGGGTTTCAGACATGAGAGCCATAGTGAGGTCAGGTACTGATGTTGGATATATCTGTTACAAACATGCCTAACCTCTAAAGTGAGATTTCTGGTTTAAAGCCTAGGAACACCCCACCTCCACCCCTTTTGATGGTATATATTAAAGGTGGGGCAAACTTTTGAAAAACTACAACTGCTTTGAGGTGGATTGGGGGGCGCTGTGTTTTGAAAATTTGTGTTAGCTGGGTAATGTAGAAGGAAAGCAGCTGTCACTAAATCATCGTTGTGAAGGAGAGAACAGATTCCTCAAGTGACACAAATGACTCGTCACTTGAGGTAGACAGCAAGCTAAAAGCTAAAGTTAGACAAATTTTTATTCTGTTTTACTGAAAAGATAAAAAAACTTGTCTCTGGTATCCATTTTGTACTGAATAGAGATAGAATCAGTAGCACAGGGTTGGTTGACCACAGGGATTCCCAATGTATTTAAGTAATGCATGCTGTCTGATGTAGTGAGGAAACATTGATGAATGAAAACAATATATAATTGTAAATTCTGTCAAAGCGGCGAGGTTGAAGCACACAATGCTACTCTACAAAATACAGCGTTAAACAACAAATAACATTCAAATCTAGTTTAAGGCCTGAATGCCTCTTTAAAATAGCTGCATTTGCTAATTAAAAAAAGGTGTCGTTATAGCTAGATCTTGTCAGCTTTTATTGTTTTAATGTTGTCTGAACCTTGCATGTGGCTTTGACTGTGATTTGCAGGTCACCCGAAAGTTTCGTGATGAGCAGAAGCCAAAATTTGGGTTGCTGCGGGGCCGTGAATTCTACATGAAGGACATGTACTCATTTGACATTAGCGAAGAGGCTGCTCTCCACACATATCAGTCTGTGTGCCACACTTATGGCCGCCTTTTGGACCGGCTGGGTCTGAAGTGGGTACAGGTGCAGGCTGACACCGGCAACATCGGAGGAACGCTTTCTCATGAATTTCATCTTCCGGCCGATGTAGGAGAAGACCGTTTGCTTATGTGTGGGAATTGTGGCTTCTCTGCTAATGTTGAAACAGTAGAACCAGGACAAGCTGACTGCCCTCAATGCCACACAGCACCTCTGACAGAGTCAAAAGGCATTGAAGTAGGACATACTTTCTACCTTGGAACAAAATATTCCCAAGTGTTTAATGCCACATTTACCAATGCGCAGAACAAGCCTGCAGTGGCAGAGATGGGCTGTTTCGGCCTTGGTGTCACCCGAATCCTCGCCGCCTCCATTGAGGTGCTCTCCTCTGAAGATTCCATTCGTTGGCCTAGGCTGCTCGCTCCTTATCAGGTTTGCGTCCTGCCTCCTAAAAAGGGCAGCAAGGCCAATGAAGCTATACACCTTGCTGAGGAACTTGTCCAGAGATTAGGAAACAGTTTACCAAATCTAAAAGGAGAGGTGGTCCTGGATGATAGGACTCAGCTGACCATTGGGAAGCGGCTGAAGGACGCTAATAGGCTAGGCTACCCGTATGTGGTGGTTGTAGGACAGAAGGCCATGGAGGAGCAGCCAGTGTTTGAGGTAGTGTGTCAGCACAATGGGGAGACTGTGTTTCTCAGCAGAGATGGCCTGCTGGACCTCTTAAGTGGAGTAGAGACAATATAATTTACCTAAACTGAAATACAGTGGGGTGTGTTGCTTTCATGAAAACATACAGTCTGTATGTGTACTAGCAATTAAAATGGGGTATGTAATATTTCAAAGGGACATTTATGTACATACTGGTGATCGTGTACGTAATTGTATGTGCTGATGATGGAGATGTTACATGGACTGCTAAACTTTTAATAAATATGTTCTGTTTCTAACTGTGGAATTTTAAATTGCTTCTCTTTTCCAGTCCTGTAGTCCACCTGCACTGCACAGACTGTTGTTTCCTGCTCTCTCTCTCACCTCTCTGCACTGAGGGAGTATTAAGATTCAGAATGAATAAATATTTTACATATCCATTAACATATAGAAATAAATATGGCAAGGGTGCGCAAAGTTAGCCCGTGAGGATGTTTGATATGGCCCACCAGAAAGTTACCCTACCCTGTTTCACTCACCCAATGAGAGAAAATATATTTTCATAGTGTATGTAACTTATTATATTCTTATTACCTCTTCAGTTGTATGTTGTTTTGTCTTTTTGTCCCTGGGTGCACCACCAGTATTAAAATAATGCATTTGAAAATTACTAGGATTCTTCATGTATGTGTATTCAGTTTTTATCCATTATGTTTTATCATTGTAATATTTTATTTGCTTATTATTTATTAGATTTTTATTTATTTCATATATATAAGGGATGCACAGTAATATCAATTATGAATATGAATATTTTGTCCCAAAAAATTACCGTTGGACAGATTTAGATTTGACTGATATTCAAAATGATATGAGATTTATTGGCTCCAGAACAGCAGAACGTTTACATGATGCTGGACTGCTGCCCTAAAATCTGCATTTTGTTCATTTTAATGCATTTGTAGCGTAATTTCAGTGGCATCTGCAGATATGTACATAAGGGATATCAGAATTGGCCTCCAGTTTCCACCTCAGTGCATGCCTGAAATATAGGTTTTGTCCATAACAGAGTTATCTTTTATGTGTTTCTACTTTCCGGAGAATAATGTTTTCTTTGCTGTGTTAAAAAAGGACAGATATATCAGAAGCATCAGGTATATATATTTTTACATATAAAATGTAGAAGGTTGCGTTATACGTCACATCTCGTAAAGATGCGTTCGAGCGCAGTTTACAAGAGGGGAAAAGTGCCATTTCCCAGTTTATGCCAAACGCAGCATAAATCCTCTACACAAGCTGCCCACTCGGACTGTGGTCTAAGCCACGAAACCCCATAGTCATTTTTTGAGAGCAGTGTGGAAGTATCATTCGCTGCCTACGTTTCCCATAATCCTCTGTGTAAGTTCCGATGCGGTTGGGGAAAACATACCAAAAAGCACCAGCACTGACACAGTGGAGAAGACAGACTGGTTTGTGTACAAATACAATGCTTATTTTGGTTTTAGAAATTTCAGTATGCTAGCTTTCTTAAAGGACTTTTTTTCTGCGTGAAAGATGCTAACGCTAACAGTTAGCAGTGAGCTGTCGGTATCTTGGCAACGACGTGACGTATCCTTGCCTTCAGGTGTCTTCATCACAGCGCTGCCTTCTAAGACCCTAACTTATGACACAGCACAGACAGCAAGGCATCGAGACAGCTGTCTTCCGGTTCTGACTCGCAAAGTTTGCTCTCTACATTAGTTCGATCCGGAGCATTTTTTTGTATCCACTCGGCTCCAGACCAGGCGGGGAGGCAGAGAGCTCTGCTTCGAAGAGCCGCTTGAGCGACGTATTAGAGTAACATGGACACGTGTTTACCGCAGTAAATGTTTATAGTGTGGCACACACATGTGCTTTTAACCTTAAAGTATACTGATATATTATGTGTAATTAGTCCGCGCTTTCTAAACCGAGCTTGTGGAATAAAATAAGGTCTGTAGTGCCATAAAGCAGTACATCTTCTCATAGACTACACTGTAGTTAACAGGCGAGGCAATGGCTCAGGCGGATGACAGCGACGATGGAATGGATGAGTTTATGGAGAAATTCAAAACACAGAAATACAAAAATGCATTTAACGAAAGCAACTGGGAGGAGGTAAGAAGTGACTCTTTTGTCTCAGTCCTTTTCCTTGACAAGAAAAGGTTCTAGTAGTTCATATCTTGAAATTACAACGTTACTGTGTTGTATTACAGGAGTTTGACAAAGTGCCCATGTTCATGAAGACCGCTCCAGAGGAGATAGACCCAGTGAAGCACCCTGAGCTTGCCTGCATTCAGTCCATTATACATGATGATGATAGGCCACCAGAAGGTATCACATGCTTATACACTCACTGCAGTGTTGGGAATAATTCACTTTCCAAAACATGCTCAGTGGTTTTCCTTTGGGGGTCCTGAATGGGGGCTAACATGTTACGTACAATGAGCGTAGATGCCCAGGCTTAATAAAGTGTCCAGTGAGTGCAACTTAACTAATTGTAGTTACTGTTCAATTAACTATGCTGAACTAATACTGCCTCTTTTTCAACAGAGCAAGCAAGGAGTCTAAAGGACGAGGGCAATGAGTATTTCAAGGAAAAGAACTATAAGAAAGCAATAGTGGCCTACACAGCGGGCCTGAAAAAGAACTGTTCAGACTCTGATCTGAATGCCATCCTTTACACTAATCGTGCTGCAGCCCATTTCCATCTAGGTAAGAACAGAATCTCACATGTGGCTATTTAAAGCCAATATTTTTTTGGATGGGTAAGATATATTGATTGAAATTTGATTCTGTGGACAAGGTTGAGCACTGCAGTGATCACAAAAGAAGTGTTGTGAAACTGCTTGTTAGATAAATTTGTTTGTACAGTTAAATGTTTCCTTATTTTTCCACAGGAAATATGCGATCTGCTTTGAATGATGCGACTGCTGCAAAGAAACTGAAACCAGACCATATTAAAGCCATCATAAGAGGTGAATGACACCATATTATCCAGCCAGTTTTATATTTTGTTTAACTCTGTGCATGTTAAATATCCAGTTGGGTAGTATACATTGGTAGTTGTTCTTTATGTAACCTGTAAATATGTAAACATCTGTGTAGGGGCCCAGTGCTGTATGGAACTGCACAGTTATGCAGTTGCATTGCAGTGGTGTGATGAAGGTCTCAGGATTTTGCCTACCGAGAAGAAACTGCAGGAGCTCAGAGCCACAGCAGACAAACAGAAGGTAGGCTGGGGCAAGACTGGCTTACAGAACTACAAACCATATTCCAGCACCTTTACATAAAATAATAATTATGACTAACACACAAATCTTTTATACAGTATATCTTGCTGTCAAACTTGTAATTCCATGTTTTCCTGTTTTTTTTGTTTTTTTTTCTTTCTTTATACTATTTGGGATGGCTAGCAGCCTGATAGTGTGAACATATGATGAGTGGTCATGACTTGCTGATACAAGGTTCTAGTGATGTATATTTGTACGGTAAATATTTTGTACTGTGCATACAGTATATTTTGGTTACAAAATCCCTGCCTGTCAAACAAATAAATCACAATTTCGCTAGTGGTGAGCATATTTTCAAGTTTGATCTGACTTTCAATTAAAATTTGATATTTGTGATTTATTTTATTTATTTTATTATAGCTGAAGAGCTCTGAGTATATACTGCACAGGTTAGTTTGGCTCAGAAATGTAAAAGATCACAAATAGAATTATTTTCAGTGCCTTTCCTGCTGCCCCTGAAAATCACAACTCCTAGAATTTATAACCACTTCAGAATAAAAGCCTGGTCATTTGTGGTGTTGTGTATAGCAGGGTGTCCAATCTTATCCGCAATAGGCTGGTGTGGCTGCAAGTTTTTATTGCAACAAAGCAGGAGCACACATGCTCAGTTGTTTAAAGACTGAGACTGACTAATTAAAAGAGTGAAATCAGGTGTGCACTTCTTGTTTGAAATGAAAACCTGCACGGTAAAGACGGTAAAGAGAGCTTGCAGGAGAGCAGGGGTACAATTTTACATTTCAGTAATTTTGTCAGATTGTTTGATATTGTGTTGAAATTGTTACACTCTTACATTTTATGGCACACTTGTTCAGTAAAATGTCTGTATTTCTACTTTTTCTGTGCTGTAGAGGGCAGCAGACAGAGATGCCAGGAAGGCCAAGGCCAAAGAGAAAAAGGAGCGGAATGAGAGAGGTGCATTGTTAGCTGCTATTAAAGTAAGTATTGAGCCTTGTATTACTTTATACCTTACGCATTCATAGTGCTTTCCAGTAAGTCAGACTGATCCAGATGCTGTTTGGAGCAGGAGCGTGGCATCAGGCTTCTGAAACCTGAGCAGCCTCAGCGCAGAGGCTCTGATAGCGAGGATGATGGAGCTGATGTATCTGCAGCAGCAATGGCAGAGCTGCATCTGGACGGGCTGAGCACGCAGGAGGCCACAGGAGCACATGTGCACCTGGATGAGCAGGGTGTGCTCCATTGGCCAGTGCTGTTCCTGTACCCTGAGTACAGACAGACTGACTTTATCTCAGCCTTCTGCGAAAACTCCAGGTATGTCATTTATCTCGCAACAGTCTTCATCGTTCATGGCCTTTCAGTGGGAAATAATTGTGAATAATGGCACATAAAATCTGATGTTTTGTTTTTGTTTACATTATTATTACATTTATTTCTCAGTTGAAAATCTTGTATTACCTAAAATGACAAATGAGTGGTGAGTCTTGCTTTCTTGAGTTCATCACAGTGCTCTGTTCACTATTAAACATTACACTGTCTCTTTTACCTTTTGCTCAGCTTCATAGATCACTTGGCGGTCATGTTTGGAGAGGAACTGCCTCCCTGGGACACAGATAGAAAATATTATCCACAGAATCTTCAGGTTAGTCTCGATGTCCTGCTGTTGAACCACAGAAATGTTTCCATTATGAACATGGTTCTTACTTTGACTTTGCATGTAATCACTTGAATGATGTTCTTGTCTACATGCTCATTTATTTCTTTGTCATTATAGCTGTTTTTTGAAGACCATGAGAAAGGGCATCTTTATGAGGTAGATTTGGAGATGTCTCTTCTTAACGTCCTTCGGCACCCAGGGTATTTTCTCTTTGTCCATGTAGATTCATTGATTTGATTATTTGCGAAAAGCACTATAGAATGCCCCTGTTTGATTGGTACTTTTATTCTTCCTCTAGGTGCTCTGTTAAGGCAGGAACACCCAGCTTTATTGTGCTGGTGAAAGAGTCTCCATTCTGTAAGCAGTTTTTATCAGGAAAGAAAGTCCAAAGACTGAAATGAAGACTGATGGAAGGACACTGTATTGGTCATTAACCAAGCACCTATACCAAGCTCTCAAACTAGAGTGCTGAATAAGTGGCTGCTCATGAATTCACTAAGCTGAAAATGTTTTAATAATGGAAACGGTGGGTAAGAGATCTTTTCAAGGACACTTTGATGTGGCATAAAACCATATAGCCAGGCTGAGACCATAACTGTTTCTTGTAGTTTTACCCCAAGTTTCTTTTTCAGTGTGGTCTGAGAGTTTCCACACGAAACCTATAGATCAAAAGACATGTCACTTTGAGAAAGGCAAAACTGACTCATGGAGCAAGTAGTAAAATACATTAAAAATAATGGTTATACTAAACCGTCATTCAAATAAATGCCTTTAATGAGATGTTGCAAATGCATTCCACTTTTTTTTTTAAATAAACAGCCCTCAAAAGTATTTATTGCATTTCTTCAACTTATGTTGGCCAATGCTGCTTAAAGTGAGTTCACTACTTGAGTGTAACATATAAAAAAAAAAACCCTTCGGCATAGTGTGGATTTTATTTCTGGGTTGTTCGGGTACACAGACTAATGGTTCAATACAAGATTCCATTCTATGTTGTTTTTTTCCCTGTTTTTGAATCATTTAATGAATATGTTAGACTTTGCACAGGAATGCAGCTTCCTTTTGTAATTATGGAATGAAGAGCATGAATATTTTAAGGCTTAACTGGGAAGAGACTGAGATAGGTATTTAGCAGAATAATTATGTTGACCTGTCAAGACACCAGAGACGTTTTTTATATCGATGTATAGGGATAGTTCATAGCCTAAATGAAACAACTTAGCTAGCCGGTGATCTCCGTGTTTCCAGTTTCCAGCTAGTGTCAGTCCCTCAGCTAGTTAAAGGGGAACTCCACCAATTTTTCAAAAATTCTACATTAATTAAATGGTTGAGTTCTAAACAGTCATTCAGATTGGTTTGGTGTGAAATGTCAAAAATTTCCAAACTTTGCTCACATTTCAAACGCGAGAGAAATTTAAAATTTACACAGAACAAGCAAGACACGCTCAGGTTCCTCGCACCGACTGCATAACAACGGCAAGCAACGCTGGAACTACGGAAAGCAAAAGTTTCAATAAAGGGCTGTAAGGCAGCTGCATTCACCCAATCGGCGACGAATAGTACAAAAAGTATTTATCAGTACGATTGTTTACTGTTTACCCGAATTGAAAATAATATTTTTCACGGAATCACAATTATGTTTTATTATATTGTGTGAATTTATATTGGGGTTTGGGTGAAAACACGTGGCCATTCAGTCTTTTTTGAACCTTTTCGCTTTCCGTAGTTCCAGTGTGGCTTGGCGTTGTTATCTGTTCAGGGAATGCGCGCGCCCGAGGACCTGATTTGTCAAAGGGAACGTGAATTTGGAGGGGGAACCGAATCGGATACAACACTAACAGCAGCTTTTACGTACAGTTTATTTTTACAGTTTTCTTACCTATTTTAGGAAGATGACAAAGTGTGTGGAGGGAATTGATAAGGTCCGTTTACAGACTGTCGTAGTGCCAAATCGATTTCAACCAGAATACACAAATAACTTGCGGCTTGAGAGAGAGACAGACAGACAGACAGACACTGAACGCGCCGGCGCCAAAGCAGAAGAACCCAGGGCGAATGGAATTTTACGGCGTTAACAACAAACTACTTGCTACTCTGCTCACTACTTTATGGGCGCGCGGCAGCGACGTGCAACTGTGATCCATCACAGCTCCTCTGATGAATAACGTTGTTCACATAAGCTCTGAGTTTTGCTGACACCGTGTGACGCAACGCCGCCAACCCAAAAACACAAAACGCGTGCAGGGCAGACAGGTACATACAGGGCGTTATAAGGAAAAAATAGCACCCAAAAACTTATTTTTTTCGAATTTAGCACTATTTTACCATTACCAGCGTGACATGTAAAACCTTATAAGACACATGTAAGGTCACTGGTCATTTTGGATAGCAGATAAAATGGTGATACAGTGTAGACATACAGACGTCTGGTTCCTATAATGGTGAATAATTCTGACTCGGCACATTTCTTTAGAAAGGCGCATTTCACACCAAACTACTCTGAATGATTCTGTTTACATCTAAACGGTTGAATGATTAAGTAATTTAGCAAAATCGATGGAGTTCCCCTTTAATTCAAGTCTGTGGCGTTTTATGAAGGAGTTGTTTAGGCTGTTAGCTAGTTAGTTAGCCGACCAGTCTAGTTCTAGTTAAGAACACAAGTTGTAAGTCCCTCAATTTCAACAAAAACGGGTTCTTACTTCATCAGTATACTCGGTGGTCCGCGCCAGCAGAACCAGAGTCATCAACAGCCGAAGGTTTTTTTTTCCGTGCCTTGGCATAGTAATACGCAATTCAGTTGTTGTGAAGCGGTCATAGCTGTGCATATATCCACAGCCGGTTTATGACAGTTACTCTACAAGTTCTCTGATATATCGTGGATTTTACACAAGAGTGCTCTAGAATTCTGTTGGGGCTGAATAGTGAACGGAATTGCATTACTGTAGTGTGTATGTGAAACTGAATCTGAGCATGACAACACAAAAAATGGAACTTCTTTGGAGCTTTTTTTTTATTTCACAAGTTCAGCAAGTTCTAATTACATATCATATTATATACATTATATTATAAATATTTCACAATAACTCATAAGTCCTAGGTCAGTAGCCCTTCTACTGTACATTCATTGTCATTATATTTAAAGTCAGTATTGTTCCAAAAGTGAATGAACTCTAATCCAGTATGCTTATGAAAGGTCCCCTTACAGCCTCCATATCAGCATTAATATTCTCACACTGGGAGGAACCTGCAACTCCTCCTCTTCCTCTCACACAGACAGAGACCTGCCCAACACTGTGTTTTTACCCTGAGGCTGTACGCTCTGCAGCAGCCTCCTCACAATGCCCAGCTTGCCCCTCTTCACCAGCTCCCTGGACAGTTCTGCCACTTCCTCCGTGTTTGTCCGGCACAGCAGCTTGAGCTCTGCCCGGACTGGGCCGGTGCCGTGTCTCTCCTCAGCCTTCTGTAAGCACTCCTCCAGTTGGGCGATAATGTGGTTCACGTCTCCTGTGCTCTGAGAGAAGGCAGTCAGCAGGGCCTGCAGCAATAAGGGCAGGGCACGTAGCTCCTGACTGGCAGGCCGCTCCAGCTCCAACGCTCGTTTGAAGCAGTCTATGGCGTTCTGCTCCTCGCCCTTCAGCAGCAGGCAGCGGCCCCTCAGCAGCTGCAGCTCTGGCAGAGTAGAGCCCAGTGGACACTGCAGAGCCTGGGCCAGGCTGACCAAAGCTTGATTGACTGCCATTTCGTCCACCATTAGGCTCTCTTGCAGAGCATCCACACCCATGTAGTAATAGACCTGAGGGAGGAGAAATGAGAGTGTAGGCAATTTGTGTAAAAAGTCCAGCAGCACTGTTGTGACTGATACACTCATACGCCTGCTCACTGCTGAGCTGAGAATGATCCATCACCCAATATCTGGTCAGTGGTGGACCTGTGGTTGTCCCTTTCCATTTATGTATAGGGTAGAAGGTGGCTGATAAATTGTGCAGCAACAGATGGGTAATATAAGTGAGTATAACTGTATACCTACTAAAAGTGCACATCTTTAAAAAATCAGGTGCCACAAAAGGTACTTTGAGGAATGCTGTAGAAGAACCTCTTGTGGTTTACCAAAGAATGATGTTTGAAGAAAGAAATGTAAATGTTCTGTACCAATTTAAAGATTCCCCCTAGAACATTATGTGAAGGTTTTTTAGAAAGAAAATTCACGCTGGCACGAAAATCTCATTTACAAAAATAGTTATTGAAAGAAGTATCCATTGAAAGGTTCTTTAGGGAACAAAAAGTGGTTCTTCCAAGACATTTTGCATTTGGCACCTAGTTTTATGTAGGATTATACTGGAAGAATTTTGGTCCTGTCAATCATTTTCTCAATTTTTTGGAAAAAAAATGCATCTATAATATGTTTTCTTGAACTGTAGTCATAAAAATGCCAAAATTCAGCTGAAATACATTTACTTCAGTGTGTTTAGTGAATTTACATTCTCGTATCTAACTGTAAAATGTTCCAGAATTTACTATGTTTATTAAAACATTCCACTGAAAAGCCTTGTAGAATCTAACTAGGATATACAAATATTCCTTTGTACTAATAACAACATTCCCACAAATGGTGCATGTTTTCTGAGCTCTTACTGGGTAATGCAGTTCTGAGGGTAATTTTTACCTTTTTTTTTTTTCTTTTGCTAATTCTGACTGTGCCTTCAACATATGCTTGAAATATACAATGTGTGAGCTCAGGAGGGGAGAGAACTTTAAGAACTCGTGCTGGAGTTCTGGGCAGCTTCTACTAGAAGGCAGGACCCCCCATTGATGAACAGAGATAGACACGAACCGGGAGGAGATGAGGTGATGATGTGGTGTGAAAACTTTATCACAGGAATCAAATGTAGATATGGAATTTTTTAGATTTGAAGGAGAAGGTGCTTCAGGCGCGATCCTCCACCCAAACTTTAGTTCTTTCAGAACTCTCCTGAAAATCAGCCTTTCCTTTACATTCAGAACCAAAAATCTCAGTTTCTAGAGGACTTGCATTTGTGAAATTTTACTTGTTAAGAACTAACCATGTTCTAAAGTGTATTACAGAAGGATACCCCAGTATACTGCTCATAACTGGGTTTGCTGTATACTAGATTTTGTACTTCAAAATTAACTTAAAATGTTTTATACAAATTAAAAAAATGTTTTTCTTTTCTTCATTAAACAATAAAAAATGAGATTTCAATGAGCTGTTCCGTAAAGTCCTATTTCTGCAGTGTAACTGTTCACAATGAAATAAACGTTTTAGTTGTAACATCATTTTTTAATTTTCCAATATTCAAATCGATGAATATTTAGGTAGATGAGTCTCATTTGCATAAAAGGCATTTTTTGGCAGAACTTCTAGTACAAAAAATTATTGTGAAAATCTAGGTAATCTGTTGACAAAGATTCACTGTGGCAATATATTAGCCACAGAGCTTAGCATTATACTTTAAACAAACCTGATTTAACTCATCAGCTGATAAAGAACTTCATGAGAATTCATGAACAGCATTAGAGGGAAAACCGTAATCCCTGCAGGGCTTTGGCCTTCCAAAATCTCAGTTTGACACTCCTATACAACACATGATCAACAGAAGAGGTAACCCAAGGCAGTGGTTTCCAGTACTGGTCCTGGAGAACACCTCCCCTGAGTGTTTTGGTGTTTTCTCTGCTCTAGTATGGTCTTTTAATATGGTCCAACAAAGCAGCTAACAAGCTCCATGAACACTGACCTAATGCATGATGTTCAGTGTCTGAAGAGATCTTTTTTATTTATTTTGCTCCGTTTGTCTCACCTGTCCCATCTCCAGGTGCGTCCTCAGACAGGGCCGGACACTCAGGACTCGCTCGAGGTCAGCGCGGGCCTCTCTCAGGTCCTGGCGGTCAGGAATGCCATCCAGTCCTTGCTTAGCTCTGTCCAAGGCCTTCACATAAGCTGTGACCTTAAGCTGGGGAGAGTATGGAAAACAACTGCTTTTTTAAAATGGGCTGTTCAGTGTGTATGACACTGTTTAGACTAACAGAATGCTTACAGTATAAAGGGAAATGCAAATGAAGCAAATTAAGCATTAAATATAACCCCTCATTTGATTTGTCAGATAACTAGAGCTTTCCTTACAGTGCATCCATGAAAAACTGGGTACAACTGTTGTTGTTTTGGCTCAGTACTTCAGCTCAGTATGTTCCTCATAATGAGGTTTCTCAATCTGCACAGGGTGAACCACTTACTTTTTATGCAATCAAAATCATTGCAGAGAACTTTAAGTTACTGGGCAATGTTAAATAAATCTTACATCTTGAGTAAAATTGTCATGTTTAGTACTTGGCTGCGAATGCTTTGCAGTGGATTACTGTCTAAAGTCTGTGACTCAAATATATCTTAATCTTTCTTAACAATGTACTAAATCAGGGGATTAGAGTTGAGTATGGCACACCTAATTCTGACACACACACTTATTGTCTCTGTCTCTGACTGATTCATTCTGATCTTTCAGGTTCATGATTGCCTGCTGTACTGTTATTAATTCTCTCTTAGTCCTCATGTTAACAGCAACACATGCAAATGCCATATTTGCAATCAAGTCTTCAATCAAGCATTAGCTCTCTCATGCATGACTGAATAATGCAGTGACACAGCTGGCCCACAAACAACTGAACAGACAGTTGCTCAATTACTCTTGGTCCCCAGACACAGGCCTGTGATTCCTATGCGGTCAGTGAATAGCCTGGAATTAAAACTGACTTTCTACATTTTACACTTAAAATAGAACATTAGACCTCAAATCCAATGTGTGGTCCAAAGTATAAATAAAAAATCATTGATTTTTATATAAATTAAATCCTACTGAACTAGATGGTTGTTGATGGGCTGGCTGGTGTTTGAGGGTTTTACTTACCTTTGCCCGGGTGCAGTAAGCTTGCCAGTTGAGCTCTGCATCAGGCAGCACATTCAGGGCCATGTTACAGATGCCCATTGCCATCTCATGCTTGCCTGACTGAAAAAACACACTGGCTAGCTGATTTAATGTGAATGCATCATCTGTAGCCAGTTTGATACCCTGTAAGGACAGACAGGGAAGATTTTACTATTTTACAATGCCTGTCCTAGCTGAACTTGGTACTGTGACATAATAATAAACGTTTTCCTGTAAGAAAGTACTGTAATACACTACAGTCTAAACCAAATACCTAATAATTTTGGTGACATCTGTTGTCTCTCAGACAATTAATTACGCATAATGCATCTGACCATGTTAAAAATAAACTGATGGATAGAGATCTCAGTGATGCAAGGGTCTACACTGGCCAGACCCAGTTTTCATTTAGCTTTGCAAGTATTACATTGTAGTGTTTCAGATTTTATTTCAAGGCAGCTATTTTTGTGCTGCTTTTACTGGCTAGGAACTTCCAATTAATTGGGTTTTAGAGAGTAACATAAAAGTAATGTAACTTTGAGATTGCTTTGTTCAGGAAGTAATCAGTAATGTTATTCAGTTAAGTAATTCTGGGCCGTTTCTTTTGGTCCATTCATCACGCAATTTACACACAATGTAAAGGGCAACAAGCATTTTCAAATTATATCAAAAACTTAAAAAACGACAAAAACTGAGATATAAGGTTTTGTTCCAACAGCAGCGATACAGAACATGGGCAACACTGTCAAACTATATGCAGGCCTGAGGCAAAACAGTTAAACTCTAAAAACATCTGAACGTGTTTTGCAACGCAGATGACCTTTGAACACACTGACAGTTAGTTAGGAGCTGACACTGAGTAAGGAACTCTCACTGCTTTAAAATGTTCTCCCCATTCACACTGCTCTAGGATGTTCTCCCCATTCACACTGTTCTACAGTGTTCTCTCCATTCACTGCTCTAGAACATTCTCCCCATTCACATTGTTTTAGAATGTTCTCCTCACTCAGCTGTTCTAGAATGTTATCCCCATTCACACTGCTGTAGAACATTCTCCAGATTCACACTGTTTCAGACTGTTCTCCTCACTCAACTGTTCACACTGGTCTCCCCCATTCACACTGCTCTAGGATGTTATCCCCATTTACATTGTTCTATAATGTTCTCCCCATTAAATTGTTCTAGAATGTTCTTCCCACTTAACTGTTCTCGATTGTTCTCCTCACTCAACTCTTCTAGAATGTTCTCCCCGTTCACACTTTATTTTTCCCTTGAACTTTCTTTAAAAACTACAGTGATTAGAATGTTAGTGTTTATTCATGTCTGTTGGGTCAGCGTGCTCTGATCTGTAAAACCATAGCAGTGCATCCCTTATCAATAAATTATCCAAATGCTATATCTTCTGATATACAGTACCGATCCGTAGCATGAGAGTGGGTCAGATCCAGACAGGCCGCAGTCATGAATTGCCATTGGAACCGTAGAGAACTCCTCTTGCCTCTCCAGCATGAGACCAATGTAACACCAAGCAAGCGCTACATACAGAGGCAGTTTTAGTCAGCATAAAGACATTGACAGATGTTTGTGATCACTTACATGAACTGAAAGAAGCAGGGGGAGCGAACTGATGTTAGAAACCAGATAGGCAGGTCTATGACACCTGCTCTCGATTGACTGCATGAGATCATGGAGCAATTATCACATAGGCTGTGAAAAGCCACAAGTTACTAAGGCACACAGATACTGTAGCAAATTCAAAACATTAACTGATCAAAATAAAGGCAAATTGTTTTGTTTCTGAACATAACAAAACACAATTGACATAGATGTGATTGATGACAGCTTTTACCTTTGAGATGAGTTGTTTCTGATTTCAGTGTCTCTGCAAGCAGTTTTAGGCCTTTGTTGTAGTGTCCAAGCCTCGTATACTCCAAATCCTTGGAATCATTGACAATACCATATAATCTGTAAAAGCAAGTAGATTTTGCAATAATGTCTCCTGTCTGGGAGATTAGGAGGAGCTGTTTTGTGTCTGTTTACTGTATTACTGTAATAGTCTATTATTGTAAACCTTGATTCAAAAAAAAGTTGGGACGGTTCCTAAAAAAGATATTGTCTAGAAAGCAGCATATGTATCTCTAAAACGTGTATATATCATTCAGCGTTAATGCTGAACACTAATACACCCCTGTACCATGACAGACCCTAGCTTTTGAACTTCACACTTGTATAAATCTGAATGATACTTTCTTTCTTTGACCAGGAGAAAGGTTAACTTGTCCAAACACAACACGTTTCCACTGTGCATCAGTCCTTTCCAGATGAGCTTGCTGTGCATAGCAGTATTAACTTAAATTTGTGGATGCAGCGATGGATGGTGTTTATTGACAACAGATTGATAAAGTATTCACAATCCCATGTGGTGATATCCATTACAGAAGCATCCTGGATTTTAATGCAGTGTTGTCTAATGGATCAAAGGTCACATGCATTCAGTTGTGTTCTTTGGCTTTGCTTTGTACGTATGAGAGTTCTCAGGATTCCCTGATTCTTCTGATAATATTATGCACTGTAGAGGATAAAATACATAAAAATTGTGTGATCGCTCATTAAAGAATGCCATTCTTAAACTGCTGGATTATTCACTGACACATTTTTTGGTGAGCGTCAACCCATCCTTGCTCATCCTTGCCTATCTTGGATTTTTTACACCCAAGCATGGTCGCATCATATGTTTAAGATGTTTTTTGAATTGCCCCGTCTCAACTTTTTTGAGTTGAGGATGTCAGTTTTAGAATGAGCATACATTTATTTATTTGTAAAGTAGATTTACAAATCACATAATTTTCATTAGAATTTTATAGACTGTCCCAACTTTTTTGGATCTGATGTTTTGTAAATTTAGCCAACTGTATGCCCCTATGGTTAAAGAGTGACTATAAAAGTGTAAAGTAGATGACCTTATGTAAATTGTTGCCATTTTGAAGTACCAGTTCCACTTTTCTTCTGCAGGTACCTGTAACAAATAGCAAAAAAAGCAAATGCGTGAAAATCTTAACTACATTATAGGTATAAATGTATAAAAGCAGTTACGTGTGCTTGTGTATTTAAGTATGTTTAGATGTGTGTATATGAGTACAGTTTAGCGTCTGTTACATTACATTTATAGTTATAGTTGGCTAGGTTTACTAAGTTATATCTTCCCTGTGCACTTAATAGCTTTTTGCTCATATTATATATCACACTGCAATATATCTGTATAATATAGAAATATTTAGGTTTCATTATCTGGGATTCCATGTAAGATAAAACAAATTAAAAGCAAAATTCATTTACACTCTTAAAAATAATGGAAACTAATTGGTTCTTGGCTTGAACAAATGGCTCTAAGTAAACCCTTTAATTGGTATAGAACATTATATGGAGGTTCTCTAAACTTTGAATGAAAATGTCCTTCATACTTGCACATCTCATTTACAGTTTTGGTTCTTTGAAGAATCATTCACTGAAAGCTTCTTCAGGGAAGTGGTTCCTCTATGGAATCATTCCAAGAACCTGTTAGGCATCTTTATTTTTAAGAGTGTTTACCACGAAAAGCACAGTGCTTTACTCAGAGGGCTATGCTTTTTAATTGTATTGGCAGAATCTCACCAGTTCTCCTCCGTAGTGGAGAGCACGGTTATACAGGGTCAGTGCAGTTGTCAGTCTCTCCTGACGGTGCTCTTCTTTCTCCAGCTCCACATCATGAGGCTGGGCAAAAGCCTGTTCTGCCAAGCACCGGGCTGCTCTGAGCCTGCAGTCTGGCTGGTCCTCGCCTGTCTCCGGGTCCATGAGAGCGGCCACCCGCTCCAGACACTCACTCTCGTCCTGTTCACGGTTGAGCCGCTCGTATACATGGGCCAGGTTGGCCCAAGCATTGAGATTTCCAGAGTCTTCCTGGCAGATGCTTCGAAAAACCTCCTCAGCTGTGTCCAGCTTGTCCAAATGATAGGCCAGCAGGCCCAGCATGTTTCGGACAGCATACTGCAGTCTCCCAGTCTCAGCCTCCAGCTCAGCCCGCAGGCTCTCCTGCTTTAACTGGGTGTCACGTTGGCGGAGGGTTTCTGGTCCTTCAGGCTCTTTATTCAGATGAAGCAGAAGATGAAAATGTCCAGGGATGAAAGCCAGGCCTTCCATCAGGGCCTCAATGTCCTCTTCTGTGCTGCACTCCTCCATGGCCGTCTGTTCGCTCTCATAGACACGAAGATACTAACGCCAGGACATGGACGTGTACTCGAAATGTCATTGTGTCGTACGAAGGACAGGAAATACAGGTTTGGAGGAGTGAAGAATCATGTGGTTTGGCAAGTGCTGTCTTGTTTCTTGTACAATGACTGTCAGCTTGCTTGTATGTGAATGGAAGATTTGGGAATGTTTCAGGTTTGGGAAAGAGGTGTGTGAACAATCATGCTTGTTTGTTCACATTTATTGACATGCCTGCTTTGCCATCATGGACTGCGCCTTTATCGACCCAGAGATCAGAACAGATTAAGGGTATGATTCAGATTTGTTGGCTATGTCTTGCAAAAACATAACCATGTAGATCCACTATGTGAAATGTTCTTAAACAGGCTCAAACAACTGCTTAAATGGGAACTCTACTGATTTTTCAAAATTTCTTCATAATTCGATCATTAAGATGTCATTTAGAGTGATTTGATGTGAAATAGTGAACCTTCAAACAGGCTTCTCAGGTTTTATCTGTAACATTGATAATGGTGATTGATCATTTTCTTTGGGGACTATTTTGCCTTGACACACTCTGTACCTCTCCATCCTAAATGTACTTTAAAAATATATTTTAGTCCAAAACCTTTTCTCAGAACATTGTATCAAGTAATGTATCTGGAATCATTTCAAGGACGAACTTTCTGTGAGGGATCTTAAGAGGCATTAAACTTCATATGTCTGGTTCCTGTCACCACCACTGTGAACAATTCTGACTCTTCACGTTTATCTAGAATAAATAATTTAACATCAAACCACTCTGAATGACTTTGTTTGCATCTTAATGATTCAATTATGTAGAAATATTGAAAATCCGTCCACACGATACCTAGCTTTACTACAATTACTGGTATTGCCCAATATTTGAGTTGAGGATTTAGGAACTGTTTGAGGTTAGGAAAGATATATGTCTACAATTATACTTATTTATTCACAATTAATAACATGCCTGCTTTGTCATTATAGATTTAGCCTTTTTCAACCAAAAGATCAGAACAGTTCACAGTAATGGTACACATTTTTGGTCCTGTGGTGCGAGAACATAACCATGTAGATCCACTGTATTAACCCCTTAAAATCCCAGGCTTATTAATTAAGATTAGGTTAATGAAGTGACCATTATTAGTCCCACAACTGGAAAATTTCACTTCCGCATTTTACCGCGGATGGTGCAGCGAAACACCCCAAACAAACTAGTGAACACGCACACTAGGGGGCAGCCCAAACCACGGTGCCCGGGGAGCAGTTGGGGGTTAGGTGCCTTGCTCAAGGGCACATCAGTCACGCACTGTCGGCTTTGGGGATCGAGCCGGCGACCTTCCGGTCACAAGGCTGGTTCCCCAACCACCCTTACACACTAAGCCTTATTATTCAGTAACTACAGGGACTTCAGTGTAAACTGGTTGAGCTATTCTTAGGTTATAAAAGTGTGTAATAAATCTTTGGACATGCTGGTGGGCCCTGGCAATTTAAAGGGTTACATTTTCTTAAGTAGAAGTTGGCCTAACATTGCACATGTTTTTCTCATCATCTTAAATTCCATTTTGAATGACCAATGCTTTTACAGGATTACAGTATACCTCAGTACTGTAGCCTTGCTAATCTGATATTCAGATAAGCCCTTCTGATGATTTAACTATTCTGGGTAAGGAGAAGATGGAAGACTTCTGCATTGTTTAGATGCTGATTTCCAAAATATGCATGCAGGTCAGGTGTAAGGCATTTTTCTAGATAATTATTTTTCTGATACCTGTTGTGGTGTCATTTTTAGATCATAGGAAAGAGGAAGTATTTTAGGCATTACAAGGCAAGGCATTACGAAATAATCCTGTTCAGTAATATTTTTCTAATTCGTCAGCCGAAAGGAAGTCCATTGTGCATTTCCTCTTCTGACCACTAGATGTCAAATGAGTTCTTATAAAGTGAGCGTTCACCATTCAGATGAGAGTTTGATTGGACTAGAGTAACAAGCAACTGCCTGTAACCATACAAGCATTTAAATACATACATTATAAATGCATTCAATCTAGATCATGTGATGAAGATGCTCTCTATTCCTTGATTAAAGATGAATACCGTTTGAAGGAGTGCATGACTGCATCAATACTATTGGAAAAGTAGTACATCACCCCACATCTCAGCAATACAAATGCATTATGGAGTGGTCATAACCTTATGTTCTCTCCACTAATGGAAGAACTGAATGTACTTCAGCTTGAAACTGTTGAAATCTTCAATGTCTGAGTCTACACTGAGTGATTATCCTTTTCTCCCTGCTGTTCTATTTTCCACCATAATGATTTTAGCAGAGAGGAGATCCTCACATTGTGCGGCCTGCAGCTGTTTGATGATATCATCTTTCTGGGCTTTTGGTGTGCTATAGCTGCAAAGTGACAGAGCAATGAGGGCAAGCTTTCAGTAGCCCAGTCCCCTCTCCCCTTCCACTTCCGACAGGCACATTCCATGTGTTTTATGTGTTCAATATTAGCAATGCTTGGAGGGAGCCTCATTTGGAAGCAGCGGAGAGAAATGGAATTGCTTTTCAAGAAATGTGCAACTGCAGCAGTTGAGACTCCACTGGAAAGAGTCAGCCTATTAATTTACCAGTTGTAGACCATATATAGTATTTTACCAGAAGATATGAGCTGGAGTCTGCAAGGCTGGTGTGTTCTGAGAATGGACATGTGTGGAGGATGGTGTTTGTTCTGCTGTAATGCATTTTTATGTGTGGAAGTCTAATTGACAGGCAGATGTTACACCTCCTGATCTGCCTAATATGATGTAATACAGTGTTACTGTGCCTCAGGTTAGGCTGCTATCTGTCAGGTCAGGGCCTCAATGTCCTCTTCTGTGCTGCCTCCCTCCATGGCTGCCTGTTCAATCTCATAGACACGAAGATACTAATGTCAGGACAAGGACGTGTAGTTAGAAAATGACCTGGAAAAGACAGAATTAGTAGCATTAATTAGGGAGTAGGTAATTATACCCATATATATGATTTGTCAGAAAGTAGACTAATAAAAATAATAACAATAAGAAGAAGAAGTCTCAATTCTCTGTGGCATGGATTCCACAAGATGTTGGAAACATTCCTTTACCTAGTCAAAATCACTAGGATGACATTTTTCCCCATTCTGGTGGTTGATGTAAACATTATCTGAATCTGCTGGCCCGTATCTGCATGAGTTTATGCACTACACTGCTGCCACATGATTGACTGATAAGATAATTACATGAATGAGAAGGTGTACGGGTGTTATTAATAAAGTGGTCGGTGAGTGTATGTACAAGCAAATAAAAATACCAGCTTACATTTCTTTACAATGGAGGTGATAGGAAGCAGGAGTTAGCTTTATTTTACATTTTCTAAAAAGGCCAGGATCAGATAATAGCAATAAATAGAAAAACACAATAAATAACAGCATCGGATCAGTGATTATTTCAGGATCTCAAAAAAAGATCACAGATCAGCCGTAATATTAAAACCTCCTTCTTGTATCTACACTCATTGTCCATTTTATCAGCTTGACTACAGAGCAGGCATTATTTGGGCGGTTGATCATTCTCAGCACTGCAGTGACACTGACGTGGTGGTGGTGGTGGTGGTGTGGTGGTGGCGTGTTAGAGTGTGCTATGCTGGTATGAGTTGATCAGACACAGCAGTGCTGCTAGAGTTTTTATACACCTCAGTGTCACTGCCGGACTGAGAACAGTCCACCAACCATAAACATCCAGCCAACAGCGTCTTGTGGGCAGCATCCTGTGACCACTGATGAAGGATTAGAGGATGACCAACTCAAACTGTGCAGCAACAGATGAGCTACAGTCTCTGACTTTACATATACAAGGTGGACCAACAAGGTAGGAATGTCTAATAGAGTGGACAGTGAGTGGACACAGTGTTTAAAAACTGTCTGATCCACTCAGACCAGCACAACACACACTAACACGCCTCCACCACATCAGCGTCGCTGCTTTGCTGAGAATGATCCACCACCCTAATAATAACTGCCTTGTGGTGGTCCTGACCATTGAAGGACAGGACGAAATGGAGCTAACAAGGTATACAGAGAAACAGATAAACAGATGGGCTACAGTCAGTAATTTTTGAACTACCAAGTGCACCTATATGTTAAGTGTAGAGTGTTTACGGTATTGCGTTTGTTCTCTCTTACTACAGTTATTACGGTAGACAACTCATGGCCTCCGTGTTATGTTTTTTCTCACCCGTATTCTGACATGCCCCTCCCTCCTGCGCTCGGATTGGCTAGTCTTTCAAATTCACATTCGCGGAGCAGCCAATCCTTGCGCTGGAAAGCGGAGCTTCGTCGTAATACAGGTGGGAAAAGAAATAAGGCGTTTTATTGCGCGCTCACTGGTGGAACGCAGGTGGAATTTGCGCCTGGTCGCTCTGATCATAGCCGAAGGGGAAAGACTGCGTGTTGGACGGAGCGCCTCTAGGACTGGCGGACAAGAGAGCGGAAGCCCGAGCATGAACCAGTGCTGAGAGGACGAAGCCTTGTCCGTTACATGATGTTTTACTGCAAACGTCCCTGCACAACTGGACATGAGCATCAGTCTGGTAAAGGCTAGACGTGGGCTGGACGTTTTTGGTTCATTGTCAGTTTATCATATCAGTTTATCAGTTTATCCTGCCACTTTCAGTACCTATGGCCAGGACATGCATAGTGTGTAATGATTTGAAAGGACTGTTTTGAAAGCCTGCTGACCCATCAAAGCCAGGGAATTGGGGTTGTAGAGATTTCACTGCAGGCTCTTTAAAGGCACTCTGTGATGGATGAAGTTGCTGTCAACGAATGTGTCCCGGATTTAAAAGACCTGGAGGTGAAAGTGGGAAGGAAGACACCCGAGGGGCTGCTGAAATGGATGCGGCAGGAGGCAGGGCTCCAGGGCCACCCCAAGCCCAGCTGCCCCGAGAGTGGCCACTCAGAGAAGAAGGGTCTTGATGAAAAGATCAGGAGACTCAAAGTGGAGATGGTAAGGCATTTTGTAGTCACGCTAATTTATAACAGGCATTAGAATAATCTACATATAATCTACATCTACAGTATACCAGTCCTGAAGGTCTAGGTGTGGGATACAGCTTTTCCCTTCTCTCTGCCTAGTGATCAAAATTGACCAACCAGATGCAGTAGCTGTTAATTCAGCTGCCAGGAATTAGAAAATCTCTGGATTTGGATGTGAGATTTGAATATTATGGTATTTGTCGACCCCTTCACCTCCTCCTCTTGTGTGCTGCTGTGTTAATGTATCACTGTGTTCCATTTCATTCCTCTCTCAACACATGACTGTGATGAGAAGGAATGACAGTAAAGTTTAACTTGACTGGAATATGGTCTAGTCTCTAAGTATCTATAGGGGTTCAGTGCGCTTGTATGGCTAGAGTGTTCTGTAGAAAGCTGTGGGAAAGGCTCGGACTTCCACTGAATCATCACCATGTTGAAAGGTTGCCATGCAACCAGAGATATTTCAGCGCTGATTGTACCGCAGTGCTTTTCTGCCACTATGTATGTGAATGTTATGTTTACGAGTGTGGTTTTAAATCCAGTGTGCTGGTGTAGTTAAATGAGTCATGTGCACTAAATGTGTATGTGATATGTGAATTTACTACAACATCCATCTGGCCACTATGAGACATCCAGGGCTCGAGTCTGTGGTGAGCTCTGCTGGCTTGTGATTGAATAAATGGAGAATAACCCCCATTGCCAGTTCAAACAAGAATTTCACTGTACCATATATATGATGTTATGTACATTCTACATCAATGCATCCAACTTCTACCAAGAACCATATTTTCACTGCTAAGGTTTTTCATATTCTAACAACTGAACCACGTGGAAAATGAGTAACACTAGTTCTACACAAGCTCTGATGTCTTTTTTGTGCTTGGCAGTCTAGAGTTACTTTGCTTAAGCTGAGTAAAGTTATCCTGATATCTGCGTTCTTCTCTTTTCCCCGTTTCACATGTTCCAGCCCAAATTCCACAGACCAGTTCAACCACATTCAAAAAATGCATGGACACAAAGCACTTCTTACCATTCCAGCCAGTGGTTTGTAGAGTAACAAAGCTGTAAATGTGATTTATGACCTATTTGTGCTAGCAGGATTGGTCAGTTTGGAACAAAGATGTAAACATGTTACACCTGTCATCACCATAGACTCAGATATATAGATTTGTCTGGCATGAGACCTTTAACTAACTTGTTTGTTCTGTTTGAAGAGTAACATGCTGCAAAAATACCAGCCTTGATTACTAAGTGACAGTATAATCTGGACATGTCACACCACTGCATATTTGAAATACAGCCTGTCCATTTCTGATAGTGAATCAATAATAACTACACAAAGGTGACAAGAGAAGATTTACTGCATTTTTCCATTGACATTGTGCACACAACCCTGTCAAGCTCATTCCACTCAATTCCACAGGGAAATAAGACTGAATCTGTGTGTTCTTGTAAAAATGGTAGAGACTGAAATAAGACAGACCCATTAAGGAAATGAGGCCTAGATGCTGTCACTGTGTGCCCCTTGATTGAGTGAGAGAATCAAGGGACTCAAAAGTCATCATTTATAGAGCATCTGCCAGCCTTATTTCTGATTAGTTGTGACCATCAGTATTGATTAGGGCGTTAGGAGATTAGCATGTGTATTCCAGGCAATATTAGGGAACTTAAATGGGGACTCCACTTATTTTTCAAAATGTCTGCATAGCTAAATCGTTTGAATAGCCATTCAGAGTGGTTTGATGTGAAATACTCAGTTTTAGAGAAACTTACCAAGTCTGAATAGTTCACAGTGGTGGTCATAGGAACCAGATGTCCAAAGAGTTTAAATGCACCTAAAAGCTCAAAGATGCTCCTATGTTGCATAATGTCTGAGTTATTGCTTTACAAAAGTTCTGAGATTTTGACCTAAAACATAGATTTTTTGAGCAGAGGTGTGGTAAGGTGTTGTGAAGCCAAATGGTCCCCACATTTTTTTTCAGATTTACCACTATTTTACCACTATACATAAAACCTAAAAACCACAGTTTTGCCTAATAAATAAACTGACTTTCTGAGTTATTTCATCTGAAAACTGAGTCAGTAAGTTTCTCCACAGTGCATTTCACATCAAATCACTCTGCATGTCTTTGTTTGCATTTCAGTGTCTGAATTATGCAGGAATTTTGAGAAGCTGGTGGAATTCTGCTTTGCTGCAAATGAGTGATGTGATACAATGAAACTATTAAAGTAAGAAAAAATATTGAGGCAAATTATCACAATGGTTTACATTCCCAGGCCTGATGTCTCAGACACATTTAGACTCTGCACATTCAATTAGCTCATGAAGTTCTTGGTAATTATCTAATTAGGTATGTGAGATTACAGAAAGCACAAAACTGTCCAGAGCATGGGTCTGCAGGACTGGCATTAGAAATACAGGCAAAAAACATGTCCTTTGGAGACCACTACATCTCAATGCTACAGTACAGAGTTTCTCTTTAGGTACCTTCACATATTAAAAAATACTGTCTTCAGTTACGGAAAGATGGCACTTTAATCGACAGAATTAGACACAAAAGGAGTTCTGGGACAGTATAGTATTCATGTAGTCACTGAATGTGATGTTTGGTCATCCTACCACCAATGTAGTCAATTAACCAAGATGTGTTGCTATCTGAAGTTTGCTTCTATAGTTTTGTGCTGAAGCTGTGAGGCTAATGTAAAAAGAAATGGAAGCTAGTTAGCCTGCATGTTAGTTGTGAAGCCTGCATGCTTAAATCATCACACACTTGCCTCAAGCTGTGTTGATTTGTTCGGTAATCTCAAAAGGCTTGCTTATGTGGTTTTTGACACTGTGTGATATATTTTTAACTACAAAATGTAAGTGCATTGCATAGCTTAAAGCAGTGGTGTCAGAAATCTTGTGCCCATTTACGGTATAACAGTAAGTCATACAGTGTTAAAAGACCACATAAGCAGGTTTATTGAGATTGAGTGGATGATGCCAACTGGTGGGGTATAAGCTTCCATTACTTTTTAGCTATTTTAGCCTTGTAGCTCCAGTGCAAAACTGAAAAAACAAACTTCAAACACTGATCGACTATATTTGGGGAAAAAATCCGTAAACTTGATTTTTCACTGAACTATTGCTGTAAAGTAGCTGGTGCAGGCAGTGCTATTTCTAGCCGTTTGAACAGTCCTCCTACTCATGTCAAAGGTCTGAAGTTGACAGGATGAACATGCATTCATTTCTTCCAGAATGTTAACAGAGCTGATTCTCAGTTATGATTCTCCTCATGCGGAATTCTCTCATCCTGATGCTGTTTCTCACCTCCCTCTGTTTCTCCTGAGCTTTGATGAGCTGTCAGTGGCTCTGACCTCATGCTGTGTGGCTGTGTCACCCGCCGCTGCGGCAGTGTGTGACGGCAGTGTGTTCTCCTCCGCTCCCCCCACGTGTCCGAAGGAAGGTAGCAAGAGAGAAGGCCTGAGAGTGGCTTGGAATAATCATAGTGAAGGTGCACAACATCAGATAATTAGATCTTACTAGATCTAATGTAATGTGAGCTATTTGTTTTCACTGAGATCACTTAGACTTCAGTAGAGAGCAGTTCTTCACTCTCATAACTACATGACTTATGTATTAGTTTCATAGTAGTTACTAAATAATTCATAGAAGGGGAACTTGGGGAAGAAGCCCCCCAGGGTAACATTGCCCCCTTATTTTCTCTCCTGATGATGGAGGCAAATCTAATCTCAGCGCATTTACTGAATGGCTGTGCTCTAATTAATTCTGAAATTTCATCTGGATCACTGCATTGCTGGGATTCATTCCTCTGGAAAAGTTTGGGGTCTGTTGATCTATTTTTTAGTTATTGGATAATTTAGTGATCTATGCCTTTATGTTAAATTGTATGATAAACGTCTCAACAATATATAATTAGGGGTGGTTGTGGAGAGAGCGTCCCATTCGATTTTGAGAGGAAAAAAATATGGGGCAAGATGTCGCCGCAGACACGGGGCAAAAAGCCCCCTTTAGTATATTGCCCCAAAATTGTTATGTAAATTATATTAAAATGTATTTAGATTAAATTATTCAAGTATATTAAAATATATTTACTTTAGATTTTCATCATAAAGACACATAGTTGCTCACTTGCGTTTCACTGACTAGAGATACATCGACACCTGAACTGTTTTGACTACTAAATGATCTGACATGTAAATCATACATTCCATAGATGATTAATTGATACAAAATCAACCAGGGTTTTTTCTTAAGCACTCTTATAACAGAAGCCACTGGGGTACATACTGAAACAACTGCCCACTTACTACTAGTATAAGTGTGTTTTCCTTATTGTAAGTTTATCTAAGATTAGTAACTGACCAATAAGCCTGCAGTTAAAAACCTGTGGCTCTTCTGCAGGAAATAAACAGTAGCAGGCCTTTAAGCACCTGTGCACTGTGGAACAAGCTTAAAGTCCTCAATGACTTTGCACACAGTCTCTCTGTCTGTCTTTCTGCTGTGCAGATGGAAAACACAGGGGATGGTGTGCTGACAGATGGGAGAGAGGACTCCCACTTCCCAGTCTAGATTTGAGAGAGAGAGAGAGAGAGAGAGAGGGCAGGTGGAGTGATAAGTGCGGAGGAGGACAGAGAGGCACTGAAGGACAGTGTAAGTGGCATGGTGCAGTATCAGTGAAAGAGGACTGTCTATCAGTGTTTTGTAATTAAATGTGTCTGCAGGAGTGTGTGAGGGAGAAAGAAAGAGTGTATTCAGTGGAATGGCCCTGCAAGGTTTATGTCTAGTCACGCGTTCTGATGCCTGCATTTTGACATTAGGTTGCCTTTGGCATGACTTTGTTGTGCACAAGCTCGTGTTTATGTGTCAGCTTTAGGCTGTGTATGTATCCTTTGCGATATTTTGGCAAAGTGACATTCACTTTCCCTTAGTGAGTCACTGCTTTCTGAGCAGAGGTATGTAAATTA